AAAAAAAACAACTGAGATCAGATCTAGAAATCTGAGAGTTTACTTGGATATTTGTGTTCTACAGGACCCTTTGGCTTCGCACTTAAGGTGATGATGACACTACTGGTGATGTGGAACTCGGCACCATTGGCGTCATGCGTTCCGGATATCTATCGTCTTCATTGGGGTACTACCTTCAGTCACATGGGAAGACTCTTAACGTATGAACAGACATGGTATCATACGTTTGCTATTGAATTGCCAAAGATCTCTAACTATCCGACTCTGCCTCGAGAAATTTGTCAGAATGCTAGTCTCCTAAGGAATCGCACGTCCTGTGATGAGAACATGAGGGCTGTATTGAATTTTACTTATCGCATACATGACGACACTTTAAACGACTTGGTTGATGGGATCACTTTGATCAAAAACATTATTCCTCAAGGTCCAATTCCTGGTTCTCAGACTCGCTCCAAGAGAGCATTGCTACCTTTTATTGGTGAATTCTCACATAATTTATTCGGAACCGCCCGTGACAGCGATGTGAACATAATACGACAACATATCAATATCTTATCACATAGAATGAGAGCGGAAGAAGCAGCTTTTAATGTGTCAAAGGATTACATGGGTTCGTACATGTCTAAGGCCAATGACAGAATGGACGGTTTGAAGCAAGGTATAATTGCAAATCATAATGAACTGACTGGACTGATAAATGTAGAGGATGGTAAGATACGATGGTTTCAGGCCATGTATGCACATTGGATACAACTTGTTGCAAAGGAGTTACATTTTGCTACTATGGTTGAAAGGAAGATCAATCGGTTGAGCACAGGATTATATAAGTTGTTAGAAAATGTACTATCACCCGAGCTGATACCTTTCCGACATTTGAGGCGTGCTCTATCAAAAATAAGAAGAGCACTGAAGGATAAATATCCAAATTTCCATCTGGCTCATAAGGATTTGCCATACTATTACACAGCTACCAAGGTACATTATGTAAGACATGACAGTACTGTTTATGTCACTATGATGTTACCAGTAACATCCAAAGATAGGGAAACACAACTTTATCAAGTTAAGTTATTCCCAGTTCCTCTAAATCACACTTCTGGTGATGCCACAGTGGTTGGTGAGACCATACCGTATATTGCTATTTCCACAGTTGACGAGACGTTTTTGGAATTCACAAGTGATCAATATGAACTTTGCACTCAAAATCAAATGCTTATAAAATGCCACAATCTACCAGCTCAAAGATCGTTTCAAAATCCTTCATGCAATTTGGCTTTGTTCCTTAATGATATTGACTTGGTTCATGAAGTTTGTGAAATTGGATTTGTTCCAAATGGTGCAGGTCATTTCATGTTTGAACTAAATTCTGGCGACCTGTTGTTATCTGGAATTTCCAAAATTGTCTACTCTTGTGCAGATAAGACTAAGACGATGAAAGGCTGTAGTTTGTGCGTTATACCATTGTTGTGCAACTGTAGAGTGGATGGAGACGGAATGACAATACCACCTAGACTGACAGGATGTCATGAAGCAACCACAAAAACTAATTTCAAATATCCTCTGAATGTAGGGCTACTGAGACACTATTTTTCGGCAGATGATCTCAGAGCAGAAGTGGAAAATTTCCTAACAGATGAACCTGCTAGCTATGATATTCCAGAATTTCAAGTGGCTAACCATACCTTTTCAAAAATAATGGGTGATGATAAAAAGATAAGAATTAGTCTTCGTAGAGCTGTGAAACTCGCAAAACAAAATAAAATAATTTACACTGACCCAACCGATCCTATTTTTATGAATGACTGGACTCCAGTAGGAGGGACTCAATGGCTATCAGGAACATCATATATGATTTATGGATGCTTCTTTGGACTCATACTTTTAACTATCTACATGGGAATTCTGTCAAGAAGGCTAAGTGTACTAATTTTGGCTTGTCATCTTGAGAAAGCTTCAGCTTCAGTTCTGAACCGAAACTCAGAAAGGCAGTTTAGATGGCTTCCACCAACTCCATCCCCCACAAAGGCTTCAACCGATAATAACCTGGCAGATATCAAAGCAATGTTTGATATTAATATTCTATTCTATGCAGGAGTTATGGTTATCTTTGCCATAGCAGTGTATATTATCATGGAAAGAATGAGAAATTCTAAGACTTATTTGGAAATAGAATTGGCTTCCAGAACTAAATGTACTCACGTTACTTTGGCCACGATTCCAGTTAGTCCATTATACCTTAGAAGTTTAGGAACTAACATGATTCCACAATCGATCTCCATTACAAGACGATTGGTGAAATTTGACATGATTTTGTCATGGGGACCTAACAAACCGAGTTTGGTAAATACCATCACTAATGAACGTATAGAGCTACCTAGGAAGGTATCTCTATCATGGGTTAGGGCAGGTAGACTGACCAGAATGATGGATGAGGAATACATAGCATGTGTTTCTCTGATACATGGGAACGTACAATATCCTATAGTTGTTAACGAATCGGGTAGACCTTCTGCTCCTCTACCTTGCACCACCGCTACTCAAACAGCTGCTGTTAGGGAAATAAAATTAATTTATCCATCAGTTCCGAAGAGACCAGAGAGCATTGAAATGTCACAGTTTTAGAATTTTAAGTGATCTCAGACATACTAGTGTCCTCTTGTATAAATGTTGATGTTATACTGTATTCAAGATGTTACCTTACTACATCTTTTATGTTTTTGTGCTGACCTATATGCATTTATTTATAATATATATGAATGGGTACACCTACCATATGAGAAAAACATATGTTGAATTTCACGAGAGAGAAAATATATCTGTTATATGTTACCAGGATGTTGTATATGGTGCATTGTATTGCATCTCAGGAGTTGATAGATTGCATGTGTGATCACTGCCCAATGAGACATTTGACAATATTCTATGTAGGTGCAAGTCCATTGACCTTACGATAAGTTGATGTTGTTTTGATGTTGAAAAAAACAAAAAAAAAACAAACAAAAAAAAACAACTATTGTGATTGTTGAGTCAGGTGAGATGTTGTTTGTTTACTGAGTATAGATGCTGAAGCTAAATTTCAACATTTACTTGAGAAATTATAAGAATAAACTGTTGTTATCTTCAGTTAAAGAGGACTTCGTGGAGTGTAATGCATGAATTTAAAGTAATTTCCTATTTGATTTACAAATGACTGAATTTTGGACAATTAACTCTTTTGGACATCAGAGTAAAAGTTTTCGCTGTCATACGTGTAGGAATGAGCATCCTCATTCTATAAGATGATGGAGAGAATCATTTCTAAATAAACTTCCACATTTAATAGAACATTTTTGATCATCTGATATGGAGAACTTTTCCCATTGGATCAAGACCATAAGAGTCAGAGTAAGTTGAATATGTCATAGAACATTCAGACATGGAACATGTTGATGACAAACAATAGTAAGATTGTATATTGGATACGTAGAACTCTGAAACTGATCATCAGTTGTTTATTGGTGTTGTGATACTATTGTGATTTTTGCCTGAAGGAAAATGCTCATATGTCTTTAAATATAAGATCGAAATGTTAAGAAAATGTTTTTGTTACCAATCTGCATCTACTGAAAAAGCGTAAATGTTACAAAGAAGAATTGTTTGATTATGCCTTTATAAGTCTTGGCATGTTATTATTCTCAGATAGGTACAACCCAAGACAGATCCTATCTGAGACATTACCTTGTAAAATTTCATTGTATTGATTTTTCTCGTCCTCAGATGCATACACACACAAGTTGTTACATATTGATATTGTACTATTGTATTTACATTTCATATTCTATTATCATTGGTCAATCGCATGGGACATGCTCTACAACGGGAAGGGCATGTATAACCAGGGTATTTTGGAAAAAGGGGTTTTTAATATTTACTTAAAATATAGTTTACTAAATTAAGCTTTTGGGTAAAATATGGATGCATATGAGAGAAGTGACCGTACAGGGTGAGGGCATAACCCCTAGGGCAAGTGATGATTGGTTTTGCTTCTCTTAAGTGATAGAGTTTACCTTTCATTAGTACAATGAATTAGTAGAATTGGTCTTGCAATAAAAATGTCAGACGGGAGATAAATGGATGGAACAAAATTGTTAGTCTTGTGGTGGTCAAATAGTTCTGAGTATTACTGCTGGATTAGAATGTCAAAATAACATGATTAAGTATCTATTCGGTGCCTTCCAGTCTGACAGAGTATTTGATGGTATTTGATTATATGAGTATGTCCGAGTTGACCAATGACCCTAGAGAGGTAATCAAATTGGTTAGACCAAAGGGCTTGATGATAAAACTAATTACTATTGAAATTGGGGAATGACCATTATGACTCATTTCTCATGATGTCAAACGTGATTTTGGAGGGAGGAGCTAAAATTATCATCGATAGTATTTTGTGAGTTGTCCGAGATTGGTGCGGGGAGTCGGGAGCATACAGCTGAATAGAAAGGTTCACTGTGGTTTTGGGACCCCGAGTCAGAAAAGAAGTAGAGTTAACGTTCATCAGAAAAAACCATCAGGCTCTTCAACCATCATCTAGGTATGTGTTGTATTTATATCAGGCAACAACAAGAACTAATCTGAGGACCATGTGTGTGTATTTATGATTAACTCTATCATAAATAAAAAGAGACTGGAGCAAATCATCTGACTTGTGATTTTGAGAGAGCTACATCATCCCTAGAACTAAGGAGTAGTTGATTAATACCAAGTGACCATAGGTAGAAGGGTAAAGTACCCGGAACCTAAGGTTACATTAGCCTAGTAACATATTGGTCAAATACAATAACAATGACAGTCATTCATGTTTGCATTTCTTTCTGACTATGCATGCATTGTTTCTGACTCTTATATGTTTGAGTAAAGGAACTTTGGACTCGTCCCAGCCCTAGTTAATCATGTTAATGAAGGCTTGATACAACCAGGGCCTTGGAAGTGGACATAGTTGTTGGGTCATCCGCAACACTCACCTTGACCATGAAGGTGAAGTCCGTCAGAGCGGGGGAGTACACAGCGCCACCTAGGAGGAAACACTGGAATTAGGCCTCGCTGTCAACATTTGTCATTTACCTGATAACGGACTCAATGTTGACGATGGGTTTAACGTTGCATTCAAGGTTATTTCACATGAGAATTGCATGCAGTCTGCTTGGACTACAATGATGGTTTTATAGTGCAGCCCACTGAGATACCATGCCACAGTTTTATATGGATTCCTCACTCAGACACAGTATATAGAGGATATTTAATGTGTTTTCTAAAATACCACTTTTATCTCATCGAGTGAAGTTTTAGACTCTCCCCAATTCACGAGATGAGATAAAAGTGGTATTTGAGAAAACACATTGAATTTTCTATTTTTTATATACATGTTTCATTTTTATTACTTGCAATTTATATATTTTTTCGAAAACAGTGTCTGATAAATTACTAAGTTCTCCCTGTCGCCCCATTACCACCGCCGTATAAAGGGGGTTTGCGTAAAGAATATAGTTCGTGAATAAAACTAGCCCTGTTAATATATGTTATGCGAAATATGGGTTTTTCAGATTAAAAACGATGTTTTATTGGTCTGTTTTCAGTCGTACAAATGGGTATCTCTCATACCCTCACGTCTAGTCGCACGTTTAGAGGAAGCCAGAAGCTGGAATGTAAACATTAAACTTGTTTCCGTCCGGTTGCGCATGCACCTCCCTATGACATGTCACAAATCTCGAAGAATAAGCCATCAAGTAGGACTGGACTGGATTACTTCCCTGTGGGGATGGCTGGGTGGGAACGTACGACTGAAAACAGACCAATTAAACATCGTTTTTAATCTGAAAAACCCATGTTTTAGTCTGTTTTCAGTCGTACAAATGGGTAGAATTCGACGGAACACTGGAAGGAGGGTCGGGAAAGTAATCAGGCAGTGACCACTTTCACGTCGAATGTACCAAGTTCCTCACCCCTGTAGTGACAATAGAACATTCGACCAGATGCACGGATGAGACAAGTTGTTTATCACGAACGCACAGCATGGTTAATGCTCTTCGACACACAACTAATTATCGATGCGACAGGCCAACTGCACGCGTCAGTTGAACTGCGATCGAAGTGTGGTCGACGAATAGTTTAGTTACAGAGCAACTCGCAGTATACAAGGTAACTAAAACAGCATGTTTAATGCTCTTCGACTCACAACTAATTATCGAAGCGACAGGACAACTGCACACGTCAGTTGAATTGCGATCGAAATGTGGTCGGCGTATAATTTAGTTACAGAACTCGCCGTAGACAAGGTAACTAAAATAGCATGGGTAATGCTCATCAACACACAACTAATTATCGATGCGACAGTACAACTGCACACGTCAGTTGAACCCGGATCGAAGTGTGGTCGGCGCATAATTTAGTTACAGAGCAACTCGCAGTATACAAAGTAACTAAAAAATACGAGCAGTATTACAATGTATGGGAAGACAATGCATACACCGAATAACCATAATAAAAAACAGAAGTACTACACGCAACAAAAAACCATAAGAATGCGTACATTCACCAACAGCTTTTATTGTAACCTGTTATATGTCACGAAGTGTCGAGCAAAAACTCCAAAGTGAATAAAACACAAATTCACTGTCTTTTCTGAGAGATCTGTTGTGCCACCACGAGTGGACCAAACTGTTTGAGTCCTTCAACATCTTCTGTGGAGATATCTCTAAGATAATGCGAAGCAAACACTGAAGTAGATCTCCAAAAGCAGCCCTCCATAATAGCTTGTAGCGAACAATTACTGTGGAGTGCTAATGTTGAAGCGATGGCTCGAACTTCGTGCGGATGAGAGGAGGTGGGAGGTGCAAGTCCTTGCGCCTCGTAAGCTCTGAGAATTACCGCTCTCAACCAAAATGAGAGAGTATTACGTGTAATCTCTTTCTTTGCATTGGTTGAGAGCGGTATGAACAGCCGTCGAAAATGTTGTCGTCGCTGTTCAGAACGCTGCAGGTAAATACGAAACGCACGAACTGGGCACAAGGTGAGATCAGCGTGATCACGAGGGCCCATAATGGCAGACAAGGAAGGAATGTTGAACATTCTCGGATCTTGGCCAGGAAGTTAATTTTTCGCTAAAAAATCCCATCGGAGACCAAGATGGACGTCACAATCCATCGTCGACGTCGAGTGTGGAGGCGTAGATGAAGGAGCTGCTGTACTAGTTGACGGGCCATGGACCCCTGACGTAGTCGTATCCTTCTTGGTCGACGCCATCGAGGCGAGGACCGCCGCCGTGTCTGGGCTATCAAAGCCGGGTCGATATGAAAGTGAGACGAGGTCGTCGTTCTGTCACTATCTTCACTACGACGCTGAACCCCCAAACTCTCCCTGCGAGAACGTCGCACGTCCCCATGGGGACGAGGGCTACGATCTCTAACCGTAGAAGTACTACGATCCCCATCGTAGAATAGTTGACGGGCCATGGACCCCTGACGTAGTCGTATCCTTCTTGGTCGACGCCGTCGAGGCGAGGACCGCCGCCGTGATCTGGTCTATCAAAGCCGGGTCGATATGAAAGTGAGACGAGGTCGTCGTTCTGTCACTATCTTCACTACGACGCTGAACCCCCAAATTCTCCCTGCGAGAACGTCGCACGTCCCCATGGGGACGAGAGCTACGATCTCTAACTGTAGAAGTACTACGATCCCCATCGTAGTTATCGTTGCCATGGTTACGCTGATCGAACGTAATCCGACCGACGTCATTGGCATGTATTTCCGTAATTCTCGCAGCCGTAGCCAGCGAGAGAAGGAAAAACCGTTTTCTGAGACAATAAGTCGAACGCGACCTGATCGAGAGGCTCGTAAGCCTGACTAGACAGGATGCGCAGAACGACATCGAGGTCCCAGGCCGGCGGTCGGAATTTACGTGACTGATCTTCAACCATGAAGGCACGTAGAATCTTCTGCAACTCCGGTACGGTAGTGAGCTTGTCGCCCGTAGGAGACGGCACTACTGAAGCCAAAGCTGCCAGATATGTCGAGATCGTCGACCCTTTCAGACGCCGAGATGACCGGAGAGAGACTAGGAACTCCGCCACCTGTGGTGGGGTCGCTACCGCCGGGTTGAAGCCATGAGACCTGGCGAAAATGGAGAAAGTGGTCCACTTGTCATCTTACAGCTTACGAGTCGTAACTCGATGTGCCGACGAGACAAGCGCTGCCGCTTTAGCCGAATAGCCTTTCTTCATTAACGAGGTCTTAAGCAAACCCAGGCGTGAAGCTGGAAGTTCTTTATCCCCGGATGCAAGTCGTCGGTGTGAGGATGAAGAAGGAGGTCGTCTCGATCTGGCAACGGGAACGGTGGTTGAACGATGATCTGAAGAAGTTCCGGGAACCATGTTCTGGCCGGCCAATAAGGCGCGACCAAAAGCAGACGTAGGTTGGCCGTTTGACGAACTTTCACCAGTTGCGATGGTAACAGCACCGTTGGTGGAAACGCGTAAGCGTCTAGACCCCCCACGATATCGCTAGAGCGTCGTGGTCCCATGCCCATGGGTCTGGAACCGGCGACACGAATCGAGGGAGGCGGTTGTTGTACGGGGCAGCAAAGAGATCTACTTGGGGCAACCAGAGTCGATCTGTCAGCAGATGAAAGACTGTCGGGTGGATCATCCACTCCGTGGGAGACGGCCTCGATGGTCTCGACAGGGCGTCGGCAATCACATTCTTGGCCCCCGGGATGTGACGGGCGCGTACGCCCATGTCCAAGTCGTCGACGAGGGCGAAGAACCTGAATGTCCGGTCCAGAAGGGCCGCCGACTGAGTTGTTCCCTGTTTGTTGACACAGAGGACAACTGTGGAGTTGTCCGACTGTATCATCAGCCGTTTCCGACGGAGTCGAAGTTTCCAAAACTCGACCGCCCGAATCACTGCTTCCATCTCGAGGTAGTTGATGTGGAGGACCTTTTCTACTGGCGACCACCGCCTGGCCGCTTGGTCGTCCCCGAAGTGCGCTCCCAAGCCTTCCAATGACGCGTCTACGAATAGGTGTAGTATGAACGGAGGCTCGCTCATAAAGACGCCCTCGCAAACGTTCGACGGCTGGAGCCACCACTCCAAATGACAACGTAGCTGCGCCGGAAGTGGAACCAGGAGATTGGGAAACTCCAGGTGGGGGTACAGCAATCTCTGCAGTGGACGAAGTTGAAGACGACCTCGACGGGTCAAGTCTTGGGCCGATGTCAACAGACCGAGGACTTCCTGTCACGTGTGCACCGACGACGAGGCATGTAGACGTCACGGAACGCTGCTGACAATCTTGTCCCAACGGTCTTGAGGTACCTGGACCAGATTGTCTCCCGTCTGGAAGCGTATCCTAATGTACTGTAGAACCCGAGGTGGTACCAAGTTCGACTTTTGAAAGTTGACGATCCACCCGAGGTACCGTAGTAGACTCAGGGTGGTCGCCAACTCACCTTGATAGGCTACTGTAAACTGGTGAGCTTGGAGCCCGACGTCTAGGTAGAAGGCGACCCTGATCGCCTGCCGATGGAGCCATTCTACGACCGTCTTCATGATCCGTGTGAAAAAGCACGGGGCCGTAGAAATTCCAATCGGGAGGGCCGCCCACTGGTAATGAATACCTTGGCATTCGAATCGGAGGTACTTCTGGAACTCGGAAGCTATTGGTACATGTAGATACGCGTCCTGAAGGTCTAACGAGACGAGGAAGTCGTTCGGTAATATCATCCGACGCAGAGAGCTGAGGGATGTCAAGTTGAATGTGTCGGGTGGTTGGAGGTATGTTGCGTTGAGGAAAACCCACTTGTGGGCATAGTGACGAAGTCGCCCCCCTACCGGTAGCTCGTCTAAAGGTAGTGTCACCGGGGGAGACTCCAACCACGGCGACGGCGGGGGAAGGGACCTCACTTCCTCCCCCGCTGGTACTTTCCCCCTCTGGGAAACTTGGAAAAGGAGACCTGGCGACCTTTCCTGTCGGAACCTCCCTTGCGGGACGGCTGTCGAGGCACGTCCCTACGGAAAGCCCGTTGCACATTCTCGTTTCGGTAACGTCGTCGTGGGGCGTTCGAAACCGGTGGCCGTCTGGACAGGTTGGGTGAAGCCGAAATGATGATGTCACGCTCGGCTTCCCTGGAGTACTTGTCCAGAACGTCGTTGGTACAACCGTCGAACAACTGTTGCGATGTCCACGGGGCCCGTAAGAGTGACCTGCCATGACGATCAGGTAGGTCAGTGCAGTCGATGTAACCATGGCGATGCGCCGTAGTAATCTGGCCCGATACATATCAGGAATGGGCGAGGACGTCCTAGATCCACCGTTGCATACAGGTGAGGACCGATGGCACCGTCCTGTCGTCCTCGTCCTGGGGTTCTTTCACCTCAAAGTACACTGAGAGGGCCTTGATCGCTGTCGACAGCATAGCAAGCGTTTGCAGCTGGTGACGAACAGCAGTGCCCATGGATTCCAAATGTGGAGGGTGCTGGTCTCTTGAAGAGCAGCCCCCAGTCCAAATCCCTAGTCATGGGTGACGAAAACGGCATGCCATAGATCGGGAAACGAGATCGACCAGGCGGCTTGCAGAAGCTCTGCCCAGGCAGAGCAGAGCCAAAGTTCTGGTCCATATCGTGAGCCATGGCTCTGAAGACATCGGGAGGAGAAAACTGAAGAGACTGCGGTGTATCCGAATCGTACATTCGACGACCACGATGACGATGAACGCCCTCGTGTCGTGTACTGTCTCACGACGAGGCACTCATCCTGTCGTCCCGACTTGAACGGGAACGACTTCTGTGTCCACTGTCGTCCCGCACGACGTCCCTATCGTCGTTGGTTGAACGAGATGCGGACCGACTGGGGACCGTAGTCCCCTCATGGTCCTCGTCACCACCCGGTCCCGTCGTAACGGGGGAGGCTGAGTGACGCTCTCGATCAACCGAATGACGAAGACCAGTCGTGCGGGTAGTATCATCAGCAGGCGAACGGTCACGTGTTGAAAGCTGAAGTTGACTGAGGCGGGTCTTTTTCAACTGATTTCTGAGGTGTGGTCGACTCGCCACCCCCAGGGCCTGATGCGGAGGGTGCAGAGTCCAAGGATCCAACCGATGACCATATCCGCTTGTAGCGCTGGTCAGCGGCCTGCTTCGCCAACGAACGAAGATACAAGTTAAAGTTTATTGAAGACAAGTTCTCACATTTTTTACAACGTTTATTCCACGAATACGTTGAAAACCCGTCCTTAATGATGCAGGAAGGACAATACTTGTGAGGGTCTACTTTAGACAGTTTTCGTTGACACGAGGCACAAATGCCCGACATATTGCCACGTGTAGAATCACTGTCAAACAGCGAAACACGCGTTGAACACAAACAATGGATTACCAAGGATTACATTCCAGGAGTCTACAGGTAAGACATATTATGACTTTATTAGAACAACTGTAGATAAGCGATAAGTACTAGTTGAATACAAACTAGCATCTACCGCGAAAGACTTTCTCGAGCGACTAGCGCAGAGGCGCGCTGAGAGATTTGTGACATGTCATAGGGAGGTGCGTGCGCAACCGGACGGAAACAAGTTTAATGTTTACATTCCAGCTTCTGGCTTCCTCTAAACGTGCGACTAGACGTGAGGGTATGAGAGATACCCATTTGTACGACTGAAAACAGACTAAAACATATTATTTCATATCGAGTATTAAGTTCCGTGGACATTTTTGTTTGTCAAAATGAAGCTGTTAGCAGTACTTTTAACACTTAAGACGCTGCTTATTACTGTCTACAAACTGAAAAAGTTGGAAGAATGATGTTGGATGATAAAAATAATCTCACCCGAGTGTCTTATGATATCAAATATATAAACAATCGTTGACATGACAAGGACATAGGAAAGTCTGCTATTCAGAAAAACTCTTTGAGTGAGTGAGTGAGTGGGTGGGTTGGAGGGTGAGTGAGTGAGTGAGTGAGTGAGTGAGTGAGTGAGTGAGTTTTGCAACGTTTTGAAGGGTATTTCAGGTACATAACAACATGTCAGCTCTATGAAAGCCCAAACTGACGCAGGTCTTTGATGACTGCACTTTGGTGAAACCCACAAGCTTGGGTACATGGATGACAAACCAAGGACATTATCACGGCAAATCTGGGGTTCAAACCAATAATCATAGGTGTCTGGCATGCCTAAGGGACACAACTCTGTACAGCAAAATACAGCGCTGTAGATCACATGGCCACCTGTCCCCATGCTATTATTGTGAACAAGACAGGTCTTCATTACCTGCACATGGCCCCATGATGAGCGAGATCTGGGGTATCACACCCGATGCGTTGACATTTCTCTGGAAGATGTCAGCATATCCTGCCAGAGATTCCACCCCTTCCTGGATTCTGGCCCCGCCCGAGTCGTTGAGACCGATCACTGGGGCACCGACCAGCATCGCTTGGTCCATGATCTGTAATACACACACAACTATGTCAACAAGTTTGTCCTAGCAACACTACCAAGAAGGTCAGTTAGGGAGTGAGTGTGGTTTTACGCTGCTTTTAAAAGTTTTCCAGCAATATCACCGTGGGGGACACCAGAAAAGATGAGTGAGTGAGTGTGTTTTTACGCGGCTTTCAGCAATATTACAGCAATATCATGGTGGGGGACACTAGAAAGGGTGAGTGAGTGAATATAGTTTTACGCCATTATTAGCAATATTCCAACAATTTCACGGTGGGGACACCAGAAATGGGTTTCACGCATTGTACCCATGTGAGGAATTAAACCTGGACCTTCGCCATGTTGATGGAATGCTTTAACCACTGGGCTACCCTACCGCCCCTACCAAGAAGGAGACAGTGTTGAGCGAGTGAGTGGGCAATATTCCACCTTTAACATGGCAGCATGTACCGGTAGATAATGGTCACGCAAACCACACTTTCATTAAAATCAGATATTTCAATCCGATAAACCCTCAGTGAACCATTCATATCAAGGATGCATGGCTTCTTAAACCAATGAGACGTCAGCTTTCTAAAATGATTCAATTTCATTTCTTTACCATTGTTTATCACCTTGATTTGGAAATTTTGATCTAAAAAACACACATTATATTCTAAAAAAGTACAGCCTTTTGGGCATGGATACCATGGTGCTCAACAGCATCATGATGTATAAAATATCCACAACCATACAATAGCATGGCTCTTATTTTTGCATTTGGAACTCCCCAATCATATCCAGCTTGAGATACAGCAATCAAACATGCTTGTCACTCACTTGTACCAAGACTTTAGAAGCCTTGACCCAGATTGGTGGGGTTTTGCAACAACCTCGCTCAACGTGTCAGTTAGGCATTTATTATTATATGTATTTATTTAAAAAAACATTTGCTTTACTGGTAATTGTGAATTTCATTCTGTTCGTTTATTTCTTTGTTTAAAGCCACACTCAGCAATATTCCAGCTATATGACAGCAGTCTCACTCTGTAAATAATCAAGTCTGGATCAGACAATCCAGTGATTGATATTGTGAATATTCCAAGTCACTGAATCTGAGCAACAGATACATTTGGTTCACTCATACAACCAGCACAGGCTGCAGGAGACTATTCTAAGGCTATCCGTATTATTTTCTGTGTTTCCTATCTCTGTCATAAATCAGTCGCTATGACAATAGTTGTCATAGCGACTGATTTATGACATCTCCCGCCCACCCTGAATTTTCATTCCGTCGTGAAATGATATAAAGCTTTTCTAACCTCAATTTCCCCTGCTGCTGTGGAAATTAATGCCCCAATGTGATAAAAAAAAATACTCTGACCATTGCACACTGAGTAAAAAATCAAGGTCAACTTGATCTATATTTATCAAAATTTAGTTCACAAAAAGCGACTCAATCAACACCATAAATTAATTGAAAGACTATTACAAAATGTTCTAAATTACAAAATTAGTGAAAAACAGGTTTTTCTTATAAAAAATTCTAATTTCTTTCCCCGCCCACCTGCCTGCTCTCTTGTCAGTTCAGGTTAGGAGTCAAAACTATTTCAGACAATGACCTGAATTCTGATAACTGATAATAACAACCCCTAACAATCTGAAATTCAGGCTCCCATTACCATCAAACAAACTGTCTAAGGATAGCAGGCAGTTGCACCCCTGTCAACCTACCTTGCATATCTTCTTTGCATGGGCGCCCGACAAACTTCCACCAAACACAGTAAAGTCCTGAAACAAACAAGCTCAGTCTATAAATAATGGGAACATATTCTGAAAGTATGCTAAACATGGTATTGGTATCATTCATATTCATTTAACTGAAATGAGCATGTTTCTTTTTTCTTGTTGAAATAATAAGTAAATTTTTGTCAACATGGACATCAATATTAACATGCACTAATATAAATAAATGTTTAACACTGAATTGCTGTCTCCAGGACCACAGCAGTTAAAATGTTTATGGATGATTCCTGAATCATAATGTTTTGTTTGTTTGATGTTTGTTTAACGCCGCACTCAGCAGTATTCCAGCTATATGACGGCGGTCTGTAATTAATCGAGGCTGGACCAGACAATCCAGTGATTGAGATCATGAGCATCGATCCATGCAATTGGGTTATGATGACATTCTTCAACCAAGTCAGCGAGCCTGACCACCCGATCCCGTTAGTCACCTCTTACGACAAGCATAGTCACCTTTTACGGCAAGCATGGGAAGTTGAAGACTGATTCTACCCCGGATCTTCCCAGGTCCTGAATCATAATGAAGCCCCCGGCACCATTCCACAAAGGAATTTTAGTATGGGAGTTAAGATCGTCTCTATAGCCTTACAACTATTGTAAGTCACTGTTAAATGAAGAAGATTTTATGACACTTCACCAACTTTGTGACATACTTTTGAAGGATTTTTTTAAAATTCCATGGAATCATAAAATTATTGGAAGAATATTGTAAAAAATTAAACTTGAAGAAACCTTCAAAAACCAAAGTAGACAGCCATGCTGATACATGTTTTTCATGGAAGAAAGGCTTAAGATATCATCGCACAAAACTAAAGGTTGTTGGAAAGATGGAAAGAAGAAAAGGTAGTGAATATAACATGGCCAAATATTTTATAAAACCATTTAAACAACAGTTGCAGTTCTGGTTGCTTCACAGGACTTTACCGGTGAACACGTATTTGATGAAAATGAAAAACTTGCTGAAAGCAATCTTTGTACATTATGAAAGGAAGAACCTGAATCTATCATCTTTTCTGGGAATGTAGAGAAAGTAAACCAGTTTTGCGTAAACTATGGATGTGAATCACATGAGGTTGCTACGAAGGAGAATTAAACTTTGGCTGCGATCTAGTGTTGTTTAGGGGTTCTTCTAATTTTTAGTTTCATGTGCAGAATGCAGAATGCAAAACATGTCACCAAATATCATGAATATAATACATTCTAACATAGACTTAATAGATGATTATCAACTGAAAGGAAAAGGTATTACAATATAGCTAACCAGGGAATATCCTTGTAAACAGGCAACATGCAAAGATTTAGTTGATGGAAACTATTCCTGACTTGTTGGTTATTGGGTGGTTTATTTGTTTTGTTTTTTTAAAAGAAAGGGTAAAAGTGAAAGAATTATACATATAAAAACCAAGAATGCTGTATCTAGTTACCCTAATATCTATTCTATTTTGTACAACCTATATTCTGGAAATAAAAAGAATAATATTTTAGCAATTTAGGAATCATATGTATTAACTTTGTCAAGTGAATGTTGGAGAAACATGCAGATCTTTTAACCATACAATTACTTCCTCATCTGTTCCAGTAGTTGATGTTTCATATATATATTGGCTGGCATAATCTATGTTTACTAGAACAAAAGAGACTATCTGCAAAAGCAGACATGGTGTGTTAAGCAAGGGAGATAACTTAGCAGGGGAGATAACTTACCTGGCTGAAGACAAACACCAGCCGTCCATTGATGTAGCCCCTGCCTGTCACTACACTGTCACCAGGATACTAGACAGAAAATTTGATAAACTAAAAACTTGAAATTAAAATTATTATAAAGCTCTCATCTCAAACATGCTGATTAATATAGTACAGTTCTGATTGCATCAATTCATTCAGCTTTTATTCATAGCGAAAGCAATATGTGCATAGTTCACAGATTTGACAAAGAAAATCTTCATGAAATATTTTTGGGGATAATAGGACTTCCTAAACATGATGAATACTAATATAATTGATAACAGAATATGTTTTGATACTGACAAAGTGAGTTAATATGGTTTTACGCCGCTTTTAGCAATATTCCAGCAATATCACGGCTGGGGACACCAGAAATGGGCTTAACACATTGTACCCATGTCGGGAATCGAACCCGGGTCTTCGGCGTGATGAGCGAACGCTTTAACCACTAGGCTACCCAACCGCCCCGATACTGACAAACATGATGGTTGATGGCTATGGTCCTTTGTATTACATGATTAAAAAACAATCAGTAATATGTAAACAAGGTAAAACAGTATTAAAAAGGAAAAAACATTAAATGTTTTACATAAGTCCAGTTGAGCTGACAAAATTTATTAATTTAGCAAAATCAAATGACAATCTATGTACTGGGTATATTCCTTGATGTAACCATGGTAACAAATTGAACCAATGGAAATACCTTAATACTCATGAAAAAACTTGTCTGGCAATTTTTCCATGATTTTGAAATTGTATCTATGCCAAACTCGCATTCAGTTGCATTTTGTGGTTGTTGATTTCAAGCATGTGAGCGAGAGACATTCTGTTACGTGATTGTTAGTTGAGATGGTGATGGTGACGTCACTTCCTACAAAGCCATGGTGGTGTATGAGTCCTGGACCCACTTGCACAAAGCGATCTTAGCGCTTAGATGATCGTAACTCCCATACTTTAACATAGGCTTACAATAGTTGTAGCGCTAAGATCGCTTTGTGCAAGTGGGCCCAGGACATATAATAATACAAAGGACATGTATACGATGCACTGGGAGGTTAGTGATACTGGTGGCAGCCATGGCAAGAGAAACGCTAAAATGGGAGTACCTTTTCTTTTTCCATGTTGAAGTCGGTGCAGGCATGTTCAAGAAACATGTCATACTCAACGAATGAGTCGGAATCAAGCAGAAGGTGAACTCGCTCCCGTGCTGTCAGCTTGCCCTGTAATGGAGGCCATGACATTGGCAATATGGATAATGTGAGGATTTACAGCACACACTTTATAACACAAACTATATTCAACACTTACCATGCACACGTGAAAGATGAATGTTTATCAGACACATATTTAGCCAACATCTATAATTCAAAATCCAAAATTTTTTGAAATATCTGAAAGGATACCTCTCTGCCTCAAGCTCTAAGGACACTTCCAGAGAAGGCCACGTCTGACTGCCAAATCTAAATGAAGGATGCATTGGTTCTTGAGCCAATCAGATGTATTTTAGTCTGAACTTTCAAAACCATTAACCCGTAAGTAAGTATAAATAGTAGCCATGGAAACACCCACAGCACAAAGCACTTTGTTTGAACATTTTAAAGCATAACCCAGTTGTAAACATCTCTTAAACATTGTTAAAATCTTGACAATCCATTCATGTGTAGATCAATTAATTTCAATTTCTGCAGAATGTTCTGTCTACTGTTAACTTGTTAAGTAAACATTTTGATACTTACTTCTGGCATCATTCTAATATTGTCTTATCCCCATTTGTCAATGGACTATGATATAACTCAGTTTACCAATTAAACATTCTGTTGACCAGAGTGAGTGAGCGAGTGAGTTGGGTTTAATGCCGCTTTTAACAGTATTCCAGTTATATCAAGGCGTATCAGCTTAGTTTTGGAGGAAAGTCTGAGGTGATGCAGATCTTAGACGTTTACCACTTTGGTGCTGTCAACCTGAACTAAGTAGTCTGCATATTTATGTTGAAAAATAAGGTAGCGGTAGTGTCCTGATTTTGCCCTATTTGGGACTCCATAAACAACTTTTCCAGAGCACCTTAAGAATACAGTATCACAACTTCTTGTGAGAACAATCTCTGCCATGGGTCACATGTCTCAAACATTTGTCAAAGACAGCAACTAGTTTTTGTAAGAATCCGCCGGATGCGAACTCATGACCTATGGATTGTCAGCCCGACAGCTAACTGACTGAGCTACGTCCACACTGTAAAACTAAGTGCAAATTACCTAGTCATGCCTACGCCCTTATGGAACTGAACAAAAATGGTCGAATAGTTGACAGTCACTTACGAAGGTTACAGGTACCGCAATAAGCTAAGAGTTCTCCCCGCTTGTCAAAGTGAGCGTGAGGCCCAATTTACACTTGGTGAAACTAACGTAAATAAAGAACTTTAATAAGTAAACAGACTGGTAAAAAATGCATAGTTAGATAAATTAAAGTATACTTGATACCGAGAACATGAATAATCATAAAGGTTAGTGAGAGTGTTTTATTTCGTTTTTGCGTACATAACAAATACACTGATACCCCGAGGTTGCAGGCTAAAACTAATGATTGAACTGAAGGAGGAATGCGAAATCAGTGAAGCGAGAAACACAGCCGGAGACAATTACTATATTTGTGCTATATTGCTGTGGCCAGCATCGCTGCAGTCAGTAGCAGCTTGCTAACATAACGTGAATAGGAATGGTATGCTAATTGGTAGTATCCATGGTTCACCAAATTGTTAACCGGTAATATCTGTTAAAAAGCAGATGACAACGCAAGGTGAATGTTTTATATGCCGCTGATATTCATCATGTTTATAAAAATTGCTTCTTGCATTTCTTATGTGAGACATATTTCATGTTAGATGCCTAAGAGTAACAGCTGAGAAGCCTAAAATTACCTTTTTGTGTTGTGTATCTATTCTCTTTTGACCACCGCCTAACAGCGCTCTCTGGCGAGTTGTCTCGATCCTCTTTTTAACTCCCAGAGTATGCTCAGTACTTCCAGCGACGACAGCGCACCATTTTTCTTGTGAACGAAGGGGAATCACGTTTCTTGATAGAAGAGATCGTGAAAGCCTCATGAAGGTCGCCATGATTTTTATAGCAATGTCAAGGACAAATGTTATGCAGCAGATTCTTTCTCGACAACAGGCGCTGTACATGACTTCACATACTGGAGCGAGTCCTATTATCTATGTACGAAGCTCTAAGAAGTAAATCTTCACGGAACATTACTTTAACTCATATATTCTCTTGGGTAATATAATTTTGTAGAATGTAATATTTCTGTGTTTCTGAATGTATTAAGGAACCATTCTGGTAATAAATTAATTATTATTGAAATGTGTGCGAGTCTGCCATTTGAAAATGGCAGCCTCCGTGAAAAAGAGACCGACCTCGAAGCCCAAGAAAGATGAGGTGTCGAAACAATCTAGGTAGTACCGAACACTTTATAATTTTACGATTTAGATAAAATCTCGTCTAGGGCATTAAGGGAAATGGTAGAAATGTAAGAAGTGCCAACGATGAAGCATAAGAAGTGAATATATGCTACGGGCGAAACACGTCGTCTGCTTGAATATCACGTTGCACAATGTTTATTCAACTGTTGAAGTGACATGTTGGCATGTGTCGGTGTTTAGGCCCCTGCCACGAAGTAAATTGCTTGTTATGCAACCATAATCGATGGTGTGCACGTTGAAACATTGACAACCCAAACCAAGGTTGCTTATGAAAATATATTATAAAATTTCGGATTTTTAGAGACAATATTTCATCATTCATTTGTTTTTGTGCTAGTGACAGCTGCTTATTGGGAATGATGATTGGGAGTACTGCACTTTAGTGGGTGCACTTTTTGGATTTCATATTGTGCTGCACAGAGGATTGACTTGCGTTGTCAGCTTAAAGTTCAGCTAATGATTTAATCTGACCAGCCTACACTTTATCACAGGACCATGGGTGTGTGTATGCTAAAAAGGCACCCAGCAAAATGTCATGTTTTTAGTAACAATAAAAAGGATTTATGGAGAAGCAAGTTTGTTTGTTGTTTAACGCCGCTATATGATGGCGGTCTGTAAGTAATTGAGTCTGGACTAGACAACCTAGTGATTGACATCATGAGCATCAATCCATGCAATTGGGATACGATGACATGCATCATTAACCAAGTCGGCGAGCATGACCACCTGATCCCATTAGTTGCCTCTTACAACAAGCATAGTCGCCTTTTACGGCAAGCAAAGGTTGCTAAAGACCTATTCTAACCCAGATCTTCATGGGTCTTATGTAGAAGTATGTATGCCTTACTCATTGGGGATATTCATTTATTCTTTATTTCTGTTATATTAAATGTTGTCATCTATCATCCACAAATACCATATCTGTCACTGTCTAATAGATTTTCGCCAATCGGTACCGTTTTCGCTGGGTGATGTTTTGATGAGGTACCAATGTAGCTATAACCCCCATTGCAGGGATAGAAATTGGCACTAGTCCTATAGTCCTTGCCAATCTGCCCAGTAGTTAAGGTATCATAAGGACTAGTAGATATTTGCCATTTTTAAGGGTTTTGCTATATGTTACCATTATAAGGACTAGTGGACTAAAATGTTAGTTTCTACCGCTGCCATTGTTGCTTTCACACAATTAATGGGTATGTGATCAGCAACTGATTGTTTACCATGATAAGCATGTGCAGTAGCCATTTTCCGCAGTAGCCAAAATTCTGAATGTGATAGAAATTGTTCTATTTTCCTCAAATGACATTTGATTAATTCGTTAAGAGATTTGAGTTAGATGACCAATACCCATCTTCCCGAGGCAAGAGAGTTAACTGACCATAAAAGTCCAGTTTCCACCCTTGCCGAACTAGGCTGGTATTATGGAGTTAGATTTTGGCTGGACTAATGAGTCTATATAAAGTCCAATCAAAATCGTGCAGTGAAATCGAAATCCGGTTCGTAAACTGTCATGCAGTTCAGTCGATTGCAGGATTTGCAAAGCTTGTGCACCGCCAACTCGGTGTCAATACATATTTTCCAGATCGTCTTGACTGGGTGCCGCCATTTTGTTTGAAGCAAATGCAAGTGATACGAGAGGTTGAATCTGATTGGTCCATAGGAGAGGCTTAGAAGGGACATAACTCGTAATAGCCACTGGTCGAACAAGCCCAGGAATTCCAGCCGAGTTTGGCAAGGATGGAAACTGGACTTTTTAAGGCAGTTAACCCTCTTGCGTCGGGGAGATGACCAATACCCAAACTCACAACTACCCCTTAGGATTGTAAAGGGTTACCTCACCCTAAAGGAGTGTTTTGATTGGCAAGGGGTTCTCAACCCTAATTATCGTGAAGAGTGTTTGATCGGAAAGGGATATCTAACCCATCTTAGTATCAGAAAAGGGGATCCAAGGGCTAAGGATAGAGTCGGGGGTAACCTACCCTAACCCTAACAGAGCTAACCCTAAGGATTGCAATGGCAAGATCAGTGAACGGGGGCCAAGCCCTGCTGCTGGAGTGAATGAGCGCTATATATAAAAGCTGCACCCTGTAAACTGCACCCTGTAAACTGCAGTCTTGCCTGATGGTTTATTTGATATACAAGTGTTGGGATTCGATCGTATTTCGTCATGGATAATGAATGATATTTGTCTCGTATGTGTGACTTCATGTTTACACTGACAGCCATACAATAACCAGCTGTATAGTTCCTCAAAAGAAGAGGTGACGTGAGCGTATGTAAGCTAAAATTGCTCTACGATGACATCTTTTGTAGTTTGGTTACAACAAAGAGATTGAAATAGTATCGTTATTAGTATCTGCCTAAGAGTGAAATGAAAAACTCAAATGTATAAAAACAGCACTCGTAAAAACCCAATGAAGCTTTTTCAGCATGCATACAAAGGAGCTAAGTTCCGAAACACTATTACGAGCTAATTTACTTTCCGAGCCAATCCTTTATATTTAGCACAGTTATATATATCTAAAACAATATTTCTTTTAAATCTTAAAATGTTCACTAAGTTTGGGCAAAACCCAATAAAGTGATGAATAGATGAGTGAAAAAATATTGGTTACCCAATGAAAAATGTAACAACCCAATTAAAGTAGAAACCCTAGAGTAAAAGCACAATTGCTCAAAAAGTTATCTGGAACTCTGCGTGACAGGAGAGATTTCCAAAATTGTTAATGAAACTGGCCATTCGTCTATTAATCATCATTGATCAAATGGAGGATCATTATGAGGTAATTTATACAAAAATGTGTCAAATAGATACATAGGTAACTTCTTAGATTGCTGTAGACTGTCACTGTGTCATTGATGCACTTGTGAACATCAGTTTGGCTGTCACATTGGAAAAGCTGTATATCGTGTAAACTTCAATTAGAAAATTATAATTTGTTACATTTTTCTGTCTTGGATTATCTTCAAAAACTTAAACAATAGATAAATGAAGAAGATAGTATTGGCATGTATCACTTTTCTTTTTTCATAGTTACAATAATTGATGTTTCAAAACTTTATGTGTCAAGAAACCTATCATTGTCTGTGGCTTATTCCAGATATTCTCACAGAAAAAAAGTGAGGATCATTCTGAAATGTTAACAGTTGGGAGCACATGTGCTGACATTTGTTGTTTTCACTCTGTAGGGCACCAACTCAGGATGGGAACCAACCATGGACACCAGCAGGTTACACAGCGTTCAAAATTCTCATGTCTGCTCGATTGTGTGCTGCATGGGGGAGCATCATTACAGACTGTGACGAGACATTCAACTACTGGGAGCCGGTAAATAGTTGCACATGTTCATAGTGTGGCTACAATTAATAGTTGTCTCAGAGTGCTATACATCTAAACAGGCTGAAGAGAAGCTAGAGTACACAAAGTTGTCATTTTATCAGTACTTACTACTATTTTGAGCTCACCTTGACACCACTAAAGGGAGCTAATGTTATGGGTCTTTGTCTGAGCGGAGAAGTGTTGATGTTGTTTGTGTTAATACATGGAACAACATTTAGATTTGTGCAAAGATTTATAGATTGATATAGATTTATATTGTTATTTTAATAACTGTTTCAAATTTAGCACAAGTTTTTCAGACATTCGTTCATCCAATATTATCCTCATCTGTGCCCTCCCTGTGAATCAGCTGGTTGCTGGTCAGTGTCTATTTTTTCTGTTTCAGACTCATTTCCTGCTGTTTAACAAGGGCTTCCAGACATGGGAGTATTCTCCGACCTATGCCATCCGCTCCTATGGCTATGTCTGGCTACATGCTCTACCAATCAAGTTATACATGAAGTTTTTGGATACAAATAAGGTGGGTTAAGAAAGATCAACTTTGTCTTTCTCAGCTGAATAATTACCAGCGCTTGGTACTTGAGATTTATTTTTCCAACATATTGAGTCCGCGAGAGGGGGGTGCGCATTATACATGGGTTCGCACTATACTCAAGAAAATACGGTATGCAAGATGGCAAATCTAAAAATAGGAAGATTCTGTTTTCGTAGGGGATAACTGACACATGGGGAAGATTGCTTGATACAAGTGCTAAATATTATTCCAGCAAGGGACTTCAAAACAATCATTGGTATGGAAATAATACAACACTGCTGTAGAAATATGATACAGTATAATATAGTGTAACTGTTCATATAATATAGTATAACATAATATAATATATCCACTGTGCTAAGTTGCGTCTCTTGGGCACGCCAAACAGCAATGATCTTGTGTTTGAAGTCCCATTTTGTCCCGGTTATGTTTCTAGGTTTGTCGGCACCATAATCATGCTCGTGGGATTCACCAAAGTGGTAAACGTCTCAGACCTGCAACACTTAGGGCTTCCTCCGACATCAAGCTGACACACCGTGATATATCTGGAATACTGTTAAAACCCCCAACTCACTCACTCACTCACCCAAAAGGCATTTGTAGGGAGCAACAGGGTTTTGCTGTATATTGTGATTTCTCTCCCACCAGATTGTGCTGTTCTATCTCCTGCGCTGTATCCTGGGATTCATCTGTGCCCTGTGTGAAACCTACTTCTACAAGTAAATATTGGGCTAAATACGAGGATGTTCCCCATTGAACTTTTTTGCCAGATTCACTTTTAATATTATTAATAAGAGATAGCTAACATAAGAATAGAGCAACCACTGTGTTCCATTTCTGTATTGTTTTGTAATTGTAAAACATTGATATTTGAGTAAATTCAACAACATCAGAATTTCAAATTAATGGTGTCCTTGCAGTTTGCTGTACTAGTTTTTAAAATAAGGACACCTAAATCTGTAATTTTCAACATTAGGAACATGACTTATAATACTAACATTATGGCTGTTTCAGGGGAGTATGCAAGCACTACGGGGCAAACACTGGCCGACTGACATTGTGGTTCCTGCTGTTCAGTGCTGGAATGTTCATCTCTTGCTCCAGTTACTTGCCAAGTAGTTTCTCCATGTATCTCACCATGCTGGCCATGGGGGCGTGGTTCCTCAGACAGTATCATGTAAGTGTTGGTGTTAGGGTGACAAGTGTAGACATGGGCCATTTAGTTACTTCATGTATCTGACAAGCATGAGGGGGCAGTCGGGTAGCCTGGTGGTTAAAGCGTTTGCTCGTCACACTGAAGACCCGGGTTCGATTCCCGACATAGGTACAATGTGTGAAGCCCATTTCTGGTGTCCCCCGCTGTGATATTGCTGGAATATTGCTTAAAGCGGCGTAAAATCAAACTCACTCACTCACTCACTGACAAGCATGAACATATATTTTTTTACTTTCATGCTTAATTTTGAACCCTGAAAGATGTTAAGGACATTTCAGATTTATTTTTGTTCTAGTGAAAACAAAATCACATTTGTCCCTATGTATGTTATGGGGGATGTTCATTTAACATGGTTACCGTCATCGTTACAGTCTCTCAAATGGTAGGTATTAGGACTGGGATGAGTCCAGATTTACTAGACCGCCTCTGTGGTCTAGTGGTAGAGCTTCCGCCCAGAGAGCGGAAGGTCCAGGGTTCAATCCCCAGCCACGTCAAGATGTTACTTGTTGTTACCCTGTCTGGCGCTCGGCATTAAGGGGCTAAAACATGGACTGGTAGGCTCGGAGTCAGTATACTGTGTCTGAGTGGGGTATTCATGTTAAACTGCGGCATGGTATCTCAGTGGGCTAGCACTATAAATCGGCATCAGTCCGGACTAGTACAAGCAGCTACACACACACACACACACACACACACACACACAAAGAGGTCTCAAAGGGTTAGGTACAAAATGTCTGATTGGGAATTGTTTTACTGCAGCCTTTGCAAAAACTGTTTAGATACATGTATCAAACGATCAGATCATTCATACACTGAAGTTGACTGAAGCTTTATCTGTACTCAAATATATACGAGTCAAAAGAAATCTATGCATTGTCAGAAAGAAATGCCAACATTAGTGACTTGTATTATGACCACTGAGCTATAGTCAGTGTTTGTAATTAAATATATCACCTGACTAACCATGGGTCCGGGTAGTTCTGTTGGTCCCCGGGTCCTACTAAGGACCCACCTGGCCCGAGTACCCAAGTTACCCATCCCAGCCCTAGTAGGTATGTGGTACAAAAAAGATTTTTTGGTCCACACAGATTATTATTTTTTTACTTTTGATTCATTTTTTAGGGTTGGTGAGTCTGAAACCACCTAACTGAATTTTGAGGGAATGTATGTGTTTTCTATTCCATAAAGCAAACGCGATCAGCATGATTATTATCATTATGGTATTTGTATGATGTTTGATGTTTTCAGCTGTTCAATCATCCCCTTTATTTCAGTTGTCCATCCTTGCAATAGCAGCCAGCGCCATCATCGGCTGGCCATTCGCTGCAGCATTAGGGTAGGCAAATATTCCTGACTCAGCACCATTTATGGCTAATCATCATAATATTAAAACTACGGCAATGTCGAATATCATTCATTTCATCATGATCTTTCAGTAAGTGATAAACATGATCGACGGTTTAAGTGCAACGATAATACCTCTATACCATATTCAACGTAATAAGCGCCCCGCTCTAATAAGTGCCCACAGTGATATTTGCTAATATATTGGCTAGTGAGCATTCACAATTATCACCCCTTCCGATTGATCAATGTACACAAGACCTATTTATTCGTGTATAATAGGCACTCGTGTGTTATATGCACCCTTAATTATGGGCAGTTAAATTCTGGAAAATATATGTCATGTATAATACACACAGTGTTTTCTTTTGTATCATGTATCATTAAGCTCCCCACTCTAATAAGTGCCCACAGCGATATTTGCTGATATATTGGTTAGTGAACAATCCCAATTAGCACCCTTTCTGACCCTTAATTACGGGCAATAAAATTCTGGAAAAATATATCTGTTGTTTATAATACGCACAGACTTTTCTTTTGTATCATTTCAGGCTGTTAGCATAAACCACAAAATTTACGATCTTTCAACTCTCACCAAAATTATATGCTAATAAGAGCCCCTTATTTCCAATTTTGAGAGCGCCCTGGACGCTTATTACGTCGAATATGGTATATTTGTCATCATCAGGAGCATTTACAAGTAAAACTGCAGTTTAAATTTTCTTGTATGAATCTGTACTCTTACAATGCTCACTGGAGACATATAAGAAAAGTTCTCATGCTTCCGGCTCCACCTGTGTCAGTTACTGCCTTTTGAAAAGAAATATATAATTCAAACCACATGTATATATGATGTAGTGAAAAAAGGCCCACACACCTCTTACCATTTTGCGTGGGGCACGGGTGGCCCAGTCGTCTAAGGCGCTGCGATTCGCTGTGCAGTGTTGCGTCCCTTGGGCACGCCAGAAACCTATGATTGTGGGTTCGAATCCCGGTTCGCCCCAATTATGTTTCTAGGTTTGTCAGCACCATACCCGTGCTCGTGGGTTTTCACCGAAGTGGTAAACATCTGAGACCTGCATCACTTCGGGCCTTCCTCCGACATTAAGCTGACACGCCGTGATATAACTGAAATTATGTTAAAAGCGGCGTTAAACCCAACTCACTCACTCACTCACCATTTTGCTAATGGTTTCTTCTTATGTTATTCATCCTCACTGCTATCCTGCCTGATGTTTCAGGATACCTATAGCCTGGGATATTCTGCTCCGTCACAAGAACGTCAGGACATTTGTGGTTTGGAGCTTCATATCCCTAGTCCTCTTCCTGGTGAGCCTCAAGGCTGGTTTTTTGCATGATTAGCCTATAGACTGTAATTATACTCTGACAAACTATTGATCTCTCTAAACCTTCTTCAGATTATGTCCACCATAAGTTTGGTTTCCATGGCTACCATGTCATAACAGCCATCTTCCCAAGGCAAGAGCGTCAACCAGCCTCTTCATCAAAGTCTTGTTTCGACCAATGCCACATCAAGCCCACTTTCCTTTGCTAAATATGATTGGACAATCGCACATATCGATAGTCCAATCAGAGAACGTTTCACAAAATCAACATCCACGATTGGTTCATCTTTGTATGAAAGTGATTTACCGCTGCCTGCCTTCATTGACATAAATATGTCTTTTTCATCTTTTAAACCCCCCAATGATTGCCTATGTTTTTGTGTAATGGTTGAAATTGCGATTGTTTTTGTTTTCTGATCGACGAGCACAATACCTCATAAGTTTATTCACCATACTTCATCACTAATCCCTGTGGTACGTGTAATTAGTCATGCTTTCTTAAGCTTGACGTCATCAAACTGTGGGTAAGATTAAGTGAACACGTTTTACAGACCAGCCTATGTTTAACTTTATGGGACCAGGGTGCAACCTGATTTTCGTGTCAACATGCACTTGATGCAAGTTAAATCATGTTCCTTAAATCAAGCACTTGAGGGAACTGAGCAACATCAGTCCATGGCTAAATTTGATCAGGTGTTCAGCGTCAGATGTGGTTCAATATAAATAACTGGTTTCTCTGACCTCGATTCTTCTTGAACTGACATAAAAAATGTAAACACAGCTCGAACATTGCTGACTGCAGTGTAAAGCAACAAAAATACATATATAATTTTGCTCAACAATTACGAAATATAGGGTTTAACTTGTTAATTATATGCAACTAATAATACCGTATTCGACGTACAAGCGCCAAGGGCACTCATGAAGTTAGAAATAAGGGGCTCTTATTAGAATATAATTTTTGTGAAAAATAAACAGAGTTGAAAGATCATAAATTTTTTGATTAATGCTGACAGCCTGAAAGCATACAAAAGTAAAGTCTGTGCGTATTATACACGAGAGGTATATTTTTTTCCCAGAATTTAATTGCCCATAATTAATGGTGGGAAGGGGTGCTAATTGGGATTGTTCACCAGCCAATATATCAGCAAATATCGCCGTGGGCACTTATTAGAGTGGGGCGCTTATTACGTGGAATACGGTAATAAGAGTTTGTACACTCATGTCTCTCCTGCTTCAGCTGCCTCTCGTTCAGCTCGACTCCTTCCACTATGACAAGCTGGTGGTTGCTCCCCTCAACATACTGCTCTACAATGTCTTCAGTGAACATGGGCCAGATTTGTATGGTGAGAAAGTATTGTAGCAAGAACAATATTAGGCATTTATCCACTGTTTCCAGTTTAAATCCAACTCACTCAGCGTTCAAAATTAAGGAGGGTTCTGGATCATTGAGTTTTCTGCTATCATACTTGAAACTAGGGACCTCTGCATCTTTGATTTTTAACATTAGGGTTATGAGAAGGAAACCATGATTTTCAAACTTAATTTCACACACTGTCCATGATACGAAACAATGATAATATTGTAACACACACATCTTGATTATTTGTGTTTCTAATGTTATTCGTCATTCTCTGCCAAGGGCAGAATAGGTCCCAGCTTGTTTCGAGAGCTGACAGATACAAGAATCCTAAAAGAGCTAGAATATTGCTGACCTTCGCAAAAAGAATTTTATCGGTTACTCCCAGTGTCATGTTATTGTTTCATGTAAATGTCAGCATCCAACTGTCCCAAACTTGATAAATATTTGATGGTCTAAAGCAGTTTGGATTGACAAGGTGTCATTGTATTGTGCTTGACACAGGAGTGGAGCCTTTCTCTTTCTACTTTCTCAATGGATTCCTCAACTTCAATGTGATGTTCATGGCTGCCCTGGTCTGTTTACCTGTAGCAGTGAGTATTTATAGTGTTTATTTGTTTGTTTGTTTGTTTGTTTGTTTGTTGTTTAACGCCGCACTCAGCAATATTCCAGCTATATGACGGCGGTCTGTAAATAATCGAGTCTGGACCAGACAATCCAGTGATTGATATCGTGAGCATCGATCCACGCAATTGGGATCGATGACATGCATCAATCAAGTCAGCGAGCCTGACCACCCAATCCCGTTAGTGGCCTCCTATGACAAGCGTAGTCGCCTTTTACGGCAAGCATGGGTTGCTGAAGACCTATTCTACCCCGGATCTTCACGAGTCATTTGTAGTGTCATAAATTAGCAGTGAACAGAAGATAAGCACTATGTGTGTTCAGATTTGCTTGTGTTGTGGAGAATTCGCTGCAACCTACATCATTATCTGAAAACCCACAATGTTCATTGTCATTGTACCTAGCCATCAGTGGTGGAACTTCTTGTGGAGAGTTGCTTCCCTTAGGTGCACCTGAAACCTATGAACCATGGGTTCAAATCCCAATTTGCCCCGATTATGTTTCTAGGTGCTTGTGGGTTTCACCAAAGTTGTAAAGGTCAAGCTGACATGCTGTGAAATATCATAAATACTGTTCACTCACTATTGTCCTTGTACACACAAAAGTCATCAGTCATTTTCTACATGTTCTCCACGATCTGTGAGATGACGTGTTGTCATTCACTAAAGTAGTTAAACAATTAAGAGTGTCATATATATGAAATGACATAGAATGGCACAATGGTAAAAATTCAAGAAAGATTTTTTTTTGCTATAAGATTTGCAATATCGATCTCTTCAATGGTTATTTCGACATTGTTATTACTGATTTATAGCTTTGAACAGTGTGGACAATATAAAATTTCTTTGTTCATTACACCATGAGTCATTAAAATGTGTCTATTTCAGATAATTGTTCGCTGGGTGGTGCAGTCATCAGACACTTGTAAGTGTGAACAGATATACTTTCTATACATTTCTAAGTCAGTGTATTTAGTTTCTACTTGACCCCTTCACACTGGTAGGATATCTTGCATCACCGATGGTCAAACATACGGGGTCCTGGGGTCCACGAGCTTATGATTTTTAACATTTGGATATTACAAGGACCCCTCAAGAGAGAGAATTTTGGATTTCAATGTCTTTATTATGAGGAACACCATGATGTGCACCTTATAATAAGTAGCAGACCTTCATTAATTCTTTCTCTTATGTGTATCACTTCTAAATGCCATTCAAAGATACCGGTGAAGATCCGGGGTAGAGTAGGTCTTCAGCAACCCATGCTTGCCGTGAAAGGCGACTTTGCTTGTCGTAAGAGGCGACTAACGGGATCGGGTGGTCAGGCTCGCTGACTTGGTTGATGCATGTCATCGATCCCAATTGCATGGATGGATGCTCATGATATTAATCACTGGATTGTCCAGACTCGATATTTTACAGACCGCTGTCATATAGCTGGAATATTGCTGAGTGCGGTGTTAAACAACAAACCAACCAACCATTCAAAGATCGAAGGACCCCTTGATTTTCATTCTTAATTTTAAACACTGAGTGTGTTCTTTGTAGACTTTTCATGAAGAACAATAATGTGGCTGAAATCCTGGTCCCGGTGTCACTAACCCCACCTCACTCCCCCCATGTATTGTCCTGCAGATATTCCCATGTGGCTGTCCTTGGCTCCAATGTACGTCTGGATAGCCATTTTCTTCACCAGGCCTCACAAGGTAATTTAATAACTTCCCATTGGCATTTACTTGTTACCAAGGTAATAGTATCCGGGCTTCGCCTTGCCTATGGAAACTTGGAATCATCATTACTTGCTGTAGGGTTTTACAGGACGCAGATATGTGCGTCCAGTATACACACAAGTGTTAGAATGGATGCAGGACAAAAGAAATATTGCATTCTGAGGGAAGCACAGTAATATTCATTGTACCATATTCTTGACAAGAAATATGAGTTGATGCTATAATCAAAGTGATTATCAAATTGTGCAGTACGGTACACTACACGATTTCATCACTTTATAGGACCCTCATATTTCCTGTAAAAACCCTTGAAATTAATTATTGGGGAGGCCCTGGACCCCTAGTTTTGTAGATCCAGGTAAACCCTTGTTGCTGCACACTTGTTTTAAAAGTCATGAGCACAATTACAGCAGTAGAAATTGGCACTAGTCCTATAATCCTTGCCAAACTGCCCAGTAGTTAAGGTATCATAAAGACTACAGAAATTTGCCAAGGGTTTTGCTATATGGTATCAATTATAAGGACATGTGGACTAAAAGAGTTAGTTTCTATTGCTGAAGTAGCAAGTCATGCATTAGTTGAAGTTTTGATATAAAGATAATGATAACAATAAGTAGCATCATGAACATTCTGTTCATTGAAACATATTATGAAAACATAAAAAGATGCTTTGATATTTGGATCGCAACGAGAATATGTTGACATATAACAGTAAACTCTACAACAAATATGGCCTTTTACAAGTCAAAATATTGTATTTATGATTTATGTATACATTTTCAGACAACTAAGGTTTGTTTCAAGGCATTATTTGTAGAAATCTGATCGTGGAAACTGGCCAATAAAATTCAGAAGGTGGGGTTATGTAAACTGATCCACATTCCACAATTCTACCACTTCTGCAAGTCTACCAGTAGTATCGAAACTATGCTAGGACATGATTTTGTTGATGACCACTAAGAAATACCTATTTGAAAGAAATACTTTCACAAACCCATCTAGTATGGAACTCCACATAATGAATAACAATGTTTCTTCATAAACTCATCGATTCACCATGTTGTGATTCTTGGAATATTATCAGCAAGTGTGAAAATACATTATACACAGAAAACCTGAAGAACGACAGTTAACATAGTGTATTGCAGAATTCAGTACCATCAACACAACTTTACATGTGGTGCTCCTCTATCACACACAGGTGATGCCACTAAAACTGATTGTCATTGATCCAGTTTATTCAACTATTTAACCTGCCAAAAATATTACACTCAACCAATGCCTCATCACTTGAATTTATTTTCACACCTTGACATGGTAGAATGGTAACAAACTTACTGAGTTTTCAGTTTAGAGATTACGAACTCCGTAACTTGTATGTTTTCTAAATTGAAGCCTCTGCAGACACCTTCAGTTTTGAATTAAATTAACAGGTACCTAAACTATGTTCAAAACCTCTTCTAATTAACATCATGACTGTATTTTTAATTTGTTTGTGTATTTTCCAGGAGGAACGATTCCTGTTCCCAATCTACCCCTTCTTTGCCCTGGGAGGTGCAATATGTCTTGATAATATACAGGTAAACATAGACATGTCGTGAGAGCTAGTGTGTCAGATTAGTGGAATGTCTGGATCATATACAGGTAAACATAGGCATGTGGTGAGAGCTAGTGTGTCAGAGTAGTGGAATGTCTTGATCATATACAGGTAAACATAGACATGTGGTGAGAGCTAGTGTTTCAGATTAGTGGAATGTCTTGATCATATACAGGTAAACATAGACATGTCGTGAGAGCTAGTGTGTCAGATTAGTGGAATGTCTGGATCATATACAGGTAAACATAGACATGTGGTCAGAGCTAGTGTGTCAGAGTAGTGGAATGTCTGGATCATATACAGGTAAACATAGACATGTGGTGAGAGCTAGTGTGTCAGAGTAGTGGAATGTCTGGATCATATACAGGTAAACATAGACATGTGGTGAGAGCTAGTGTGTCAGAGTAGTGGAATGTCTGGATCATATACAGGTAAACATAGGCATGTGGTGAGAGCTAGTGTGTCAGAGTAGTGGAATGTCTTGATCATATACAGGTAAACATAGACATGTCGTGAGAGCTAGTGTGTCAGATTAGTGGAATGTCTGGATCATATACAGGTAAACATAGACATGTGGTCAGAGCTAGTGTGTCAGAGTAGTGGAATGTCTGGATCATATACAGGTAAACATAGACATGTGGTGAGAGCTAGTGTGTCAGAGTAGTGGAATGTCTGGATCATATACAGGTAAACATAGACATGTGGTGAGAGCTAGTGTGTCAGATAAGAGGAATGTCTGGATCATATACAGGTAAACATAGGCATGTGGTCAGAGCTAGTATGTCAGATTAGTGGAATGTCTGGATCATATACAGGTAAACATAGACATGTGGTGAGAGCTAGTGTGTCAGAGTAGTGGAATGTCTTGATCATATACAGGTAAACATAGACATGTCGTGAGAGCTAGTGTGTCAGATTAGTGGAATGTCTGGATCATATACAGGTAAACATAGACATGTGGTTAGAGCTAGTGTGTCAGAGTAGTGTAATGTCTGGATCATATACAGGTAAACATGGAGATGTGGTGAGAGCTAGTGTGTCAGATTAGTGGAATGTCTGGATCATATACAGGTAAATATAGACATGTGGTGAGAGCTAGTGTGTCAGATTAGTGGAATGTCTGGATCATATACAGGTAAACATAGACATGTGGTGAGAGCTAATGTGTCAGATTAGAGGAATGTCTGGAGCATATACAGGTAAACATAGACATGTGGTGAGAGCTAGTATGTCAGATTAGTGGAATGTCTGGATCATATACAGGTAAACATAGACATGTGGTGAGAGCTAGTGTGTCAGATTAGTGGAATGTCTGGATCATATACAGGTAAACATAGGCATGTGGTGAGAGCTAGTATGTCAGATTAGTGGAATGTCTGGATCATTTACAGGTAAACATAGACATGTGGTCAGAGCTAGTGTGTCAGATTAGTGGAATGTCTGGATCATATACAGGTAAACATAGACATGTGGTGAGAGCTAGTGTGTCAGAGTAGTGGAATGTCTGGATCATATACAGGTAAACATAGACATGTGGTGAGAGCTAGTGTGTCAGAGTAGTGGAATGTCTTGATCATATACAGGTAAACATAGGCATGTGGTGAGAGCTAGTGTGTCAGAGTAGTGGAATGTCTGGATCATATACAGGTAAACATAGACATGTCGTGAGAGCTAGTATGTCAGATTAGTGGAATGTCTGGATCATATACAGGTAAACATAGACATGTGGTGAGAGCTAGTGTGTCAGAGTAGTGGAATGTCTTGATCATATACAGGTAAACATAGGCATGTGGTGAGAGCTAGTGTGTCAGAGTAGTGGAATGTCTGGATCATATACAGGTAAACATAGACATGTGGTGAGAGCTAGAGTGTCAGAGTAGTGGAATGTCTGGATCATATACAGGTAAACATAGACATGTGGTGAGAGCTAGTGTGTCAGATTAGTGGAATGTCTGGATCATATACAGGTAAACATAGACATGTGGTGAGAGCTAATGTGTCAGATTAGAGGAATGTCTGGATCATATACAGGTAAACATAGACATGTGGTGAGAGCTAGTATGTCAGATTAGTGGAATGTCTGGATCATATACAGGTAAACATAGACATGTGGTCAGAGCTAGTGTGTCAGATTAGTGGAATGTCTGGATCATATACAGGTAAACATAGGCATGTGGTGAGAGCTAGTATGTCAGATTAGTGGAATGTCTGGATCATTTACAGGTAAACATAGACATGTGGTCAGAGCTAGTGTGTCAGAGTAGTGGAATGTCTGGATCATATACAGGTAAACATAGACATGTGGTGAGAGCTAGTGTGTCAGAGTAGTGGAATGTCTGGATCATATACAGGTAAACATAGACATGTGGTGAGAGCTAGTGTGTCAGATAAGAGGAATGTCTGGATCATATACAGGTAAACATAGGCATGTGGTCAGAGCTAGTATGTCAGATTAGTGGAATGTCTGGATCATATACAGGTAAACATGGACATGTGTCGAGAGCTAGTGTGTCAGATTAGCAGTATGTAAGGACATGCTCCTTATGCAGTGTCAACAAATATTACATGATATGTAGAAGATGGAGTGAAATGGCTACCTGCCCACTATCCCCTCATCCCACGGACAGTAATATTTTGACTAGTGTTCTTTGTCTGACTTGTTGGTTGCGATCATCGTAACCACTCAGCGGTTGACGTTCTCTTATATCAAATGTTGTTTTCTCTGGTTGGTTGGTTTGTTGTTTTACGCCGCACTCAGCAATATTCCAGCTATATGACGTCTGTCTGTAAATAATCGAGTCTGGACCAGACAATCCAGTGATTGATATCATGAGCATCGATCCACGCAATTGTGATACGATGACATGCATCAAGTCAGCAAGCCTGACCACCCGATCCTGTTAGTCGCCTCTTACGACAAGCATAGTCGCCTTTTGTTTTCTCTGGCCCAGATTCTTAATAACAAGCTGCTAATATTTTGATGCAAAACAACAAACAGACATGCTTAATTATTCTGAATCAATTTACATTGAATGTTACTGGTTGTTACAGAAACTGATGAGCTATTTGTTCCCCAAGAGGTCTGCCTACCACTACACGGATCACACCAACTGGGTATCCGTGTTTAGTGGGGCCCTCTTCACACTGCTGTCGGTGTCCAGGATCATTGCTGTTTATCAAGGTGAGATTTGTACCTGTGTCTGAGGTAGACAAAGATGAACAAGGTGTGTGGGTCTGTTGGTTGTTTAATGCTGCACTCAGCATTATTCCAGCTATGCGATGGCAGTCTGAAAGTAATCAAGTATAGACCAGACTATCCAGTGATTGACATAGGTATCGAGCCATGCTTTTCATTTGGAAAATAATGACATACACTGAACAGAGTCACTGAGCCTGACTACCCAATTCATTGAGTGGCCTCCTACAAAAAGCATCGGTTGCTGGGGACCTATATTTTACCTGGAATCCCCACCAGTTTGAACAGAGTGAGTGAGAGAGTATTGCTTTGCACCACTTTGGTCAATATTCATGCAAAATCATGAAGTCAGACAGAAAAAATTGGGAATCAAACCCATGTCTCCAGTTTTATTAACCAACTCTTAAACCAGTATTTCATGCATAGAGTAATTCATTGGTTGTTATATTAACAGACGAATTAAACATTATCATGATGTCTCTGTACAATAATGACACCATTGAAAAATATATTGTTTGTACATACTAAGTATTTGGCTTGTGAATGAGTTGATAGTTGATGTCAATCACATAAGTATCACACTGAATCTATTTGAATGTCCACTCTTGTAGGTTACCATGCTTCCATGGATATCTATGTGGAGTTGAACAAAATGGCAAATGACCCAAAGATTCACACTCTGCCATCCGACCGGCCAGTGAACATCTGTGTGGGCAAGGAGTGGTACAGGTTCCCCAGCAGCTTCTTCCTGCCTGATGACAAGTGAGTCCCCACCCCCTGCCTCATGACAAGTGAGTCCCCACCCCCTGCCTCATGACAAGTGAGTCCCCACCCCCTGCCTCATGACAAGTGATCCACACACCCCTGCCTCATGACAAGTGATTCCACACACCCCTGCCTCATGACAAGTGAGTCCCCAACCCATACCCCTGCCTCATGACATGTGAGTCACCCCCACCCCTGCCTCATGACAAGTGAGTCACCCTCATCCCCTTTGCCTCATGACAAGTGAGACCCCACCCCCTCCCTCATGACAAGTGATCCACACACCCCTGCCTCATGACAAGTGAGTCCACACACCCCTGCCTCATGACAAGTGAGTCTCCAACTCATCCCCCTGCCTCATGACATGTGAGTCACCTCCACCCCCTGCCTCATGACAAGTGAGTCACCCTCATCCCCTTTGCCTCATGACAAGTGAGTATCCACCACACCTATCTGCCTCATGACTTGTGAGTCAACCACTACCTCTGCTTCATGACAAGTGAGTCCCCACCCCCATCCCCTTTGCCTCATGACATGTAAATCAACCTGTGAAAGTTTAACCACTAGGCTACCCAGCCACCCGAGATATAATATGATGAAACTATTGTTGGTTGACCGTACCTGTATGTTTAACTCAGGTGATGAGGTTTTGTTTCACTGTTTCCACTTGTCCCAGATCATTACCTATACTACCTGTATGTTTAACTCAGCTGACGAGGTCTTGTATCACCATTTTCAGCTGGCATCTCCAGTTTATCAAGTCAGAGTTCAGAGGTCAACTACCAAAACCCTATGAATCTGGGCCTGATGCGACAAGAATTATTCCGACTCACATGAACGACCTCAACCTGGAGGAACCTACTAGATATGTGAGTTGAACTAATAATAACTCATAGCACTGACCCTTTCACATGACAGCCATATCTAAAATTTATCCAAAGTTACAGACACTGAGTAGAACTCCATGTCACTCATTCTCTCATCCGTCCACTCCATGGCACATTTCAGATAAACGTGAGCAGATGTCACTATCTGATTGATCTAGATTTAGATCAGGAGTCACCACATGAACCCCGTTATTCACAAATGGAGGACTGGAAAGTTTTATCTTCTGTAAAATTCTTGGATCCAACAAGGTGAGTTCTTGTTTACAGCCTTTCATTCACAAACCAATCTCATTAAAATCAGACCTGTTACTCTGTTATATGATACCTCTCTTCGTAATTATCTGACGACATCTCAATAGAAGAACACAGCAGGTGAACACAGGGTTCTTGAGCCAATCAGATGTCAGCTTTCTAAAATGATTTGGCTTCTTCTCTTAACCCCCTCAATATGGAAATTTTATTTTTGTAAAGGAAAACCGACATTACAACATATAAATGTGGCCTTATTCTTGTACATTTGGAACTTCCCAATTAACTTCGTTTTTGAGCTACAGAATCAGATATGCTTGTCTGAAAGCTTCACTCACTTGTACCAAGAATTTAGAAAAACCTACATCAACATCTTCATGCAGAGTGGTATCGTATCGAAGTAAAGGATTTTATTGAGATTGATTCACAGACAAGAAATCAATATGCTTCTCATTTTCATATTCTATCCCAGCTTTCATTCCAGAGATATTTCAGATGTGCACTCAGCAATATTACCCATAGGGCCATGGAATGTAGTGAAATTTTCAGTACATGCATCTGAGCATTATGATGTTGGCTTCATGCTTGATCAGAAAGTCCAAACCAATTAGTCCATTGCCCTAAATAGTAAATTATGTCAACAACATATTGATTGACCTGATGCTTCTTTTTGTAATCGAACCATTTTCCATAAACCAAACTATGGGTAATATAAAAAGTAACCTACAAACTATGGTAGGTCATAGAATATCTTCCTCCTGTTAATTAATAGTGGGGGAATGCAAAGAAAGTATATCAACTTCAAGGCTAAATTTTCAGTTTTCATCCGTACTTCACTCATTAGGTGACAGGATGGTTGATGAGTGGATGAGTTCATGAGATGGAGGCTGAGGTGATGAGTTGATGGTTGATAGGTCATGAGATTATGTTTCATGGTTGATGAGTTCATGAATTGATGGTTGATGAGATGACGCTTAATGAGTTAATTGTTGATAGGTCATAACTTGATGGATGATAGTTCATGAGTTGATGGTTGATGGGTTCATGAGTTGATGGTTGATAGTTCATGAGTTGATGATTTCTTGAGATGAGGGTTGATGTTTGACCTCATGAGATAATGTTTACTGATTTCATGTTTGATGACTTCATGAGATAATTGTTGACGGTTGATGAGTTAATTAGAGGATGTTTGATGTTTTTATGATATAATGGCTGATGACTTCATGAGGTGATGGTTGCTGAGTTGATAGTTGATGCTTCTTTGTTTCAGGTCTCATCGGCTGTTGCGTGCATTCTACATTCCATTTGTATCAGCTAAATATTGCACTTATGTGGACTACAACCTTCTTAAAACAGCCAGGACTAAAAAATCTAGAGGGAAATCTAGCTGACTTTGATATGATTTTATAAGAAGTCAGTGACATCTGTTTCATAAGACTTCTTGTTTTCACAAATATAAAATGATATATTTGTATATATGGAAAAATATTACATCGTTCATTGGTTAAGAATGAAACATGTTTCATGGTTTACGTCCTCAACAATCATGAAGATTAGCATGATCAGATCAGACAAATTTGATTTGTTTGCAGATTTTTTTAGGCGAAACTGTCAAACTGCAGGAGTCAAAATAGAAAATTCACAAAACATTCTTGATTGAGAGCTTAATTATGATTATAAAAATTAAAAACTTAAAAAATAACGCTTTTACAAACGCGGATTCATATTAAATAAGGGTTTTCCTCAAAGAGCATTTGTAAGTCAAGTACCAAAAGCAAAATCCAAACTACTGCCATTGACTCAAAACATGCAACTCAACTTTTGTTGGGGATATTTCAAATTATTACACACAGAACTGATTCCGTATTATGTGTCAATGGGTGAGGATTCCTATCAAAAAGTGACTAGCATAAAAGCATTTTTTCAACCAGGAACTGACTGGCCATAATGTGTTCATTTTGACACATTTGTTAGATCATAAAGAGTACTCTTAAAGGTGAATGAGTATGGTTTTACGCCGCTTTTAGCAATATTCCGGCATTATCATGGCGGAGGACACCGGAAATGGGCTTCACACATTGTACCCATATCAGGAATTGAACCCGGGTCTTCGGTGTGACGAGAGAAAGCTTTAACCACTAGGCTATCCGACCGCCCCTCATAAAGGTGAGAGTATTAAATTCATGTTCCCCAACATTCCCCCTGAATCATGATCCCATGCTCAATATGTGTTTCAAGGCAGCTATGTCTATAGTACATCACTAGATTTATAGAAGTAGAGTTTGGGGGACTGCTTTGAAATATATCCAACGTGAATTAGGAGATAAACCTACTGTTTTGAAATTAGAAGTAGTCTAACTGTACACAAGATACCTCTTTTTTATACATTTGAAACCTCGTGCTGTCAGGGTGTATTTTCCTTAACATCACTTCAAGAGTTGTAGCTCAATAATCCAATATTTGTTTGTTTGTTGTTTTACGCCGCACTCAGCAATATTCCAGCTATATGACGGCGGTCTGTAAATAATCAAGTCTGGACCAGACAATCCAGTGATTAATATCATGAGCATCGATCCACGCAATTGGGATCGATGACATGGATCAACCAAGTCAGCGAGCCTGACCACCCGATCCCGTTAGTCGCCTTTTACGATGAGCATAGTCGCCTTTTACGGCAAGCATGGGTTGCTGAAGACCTATTCTAACCCGGAATCTTCACGGGTTACGGCAATAATCCAATAATGGCAGGCAGTTGTACTCTTGGCTTCACATGACAGGACTCCCTTACAGTGTTTGGAATTAACAGGGTCCTTGGTACTTAGGTTTGCTCCTACAGTATGTGAATCTGTGGACCCAATAATTCTTAACTCTTAACATTGTGGCCATGACAAGGACCCCTTGAGTTTCAGGCCTTACTTTCAACTGTACTTTGCATTTGACTCTGTTTTCATCCAAAGTATTGCTCAGCACATTCTGATATTTGCTGCAACTCCTTTTTATCAGTCAGTACTAGTTCCTAAACATCCAAGGGATGGCAACAGAAATTCTATTTCATTAGAACATTCATTATAAATTCAACGGAATGAATTTGACTATGACTTGCATTCTTTAGTACTGAAATTCTATTTCATTAAAACATTCATTATAAATTCAACAGTATGAATTTGACTATGACTTGCATTCTTTAGTACTGAAATTCTATTTCATTAAAACATTCATTATAAATTCAACGGAATGAATTTGACTATCACTTGCAAATTTTAGTACTGAAATTCTATTTCATTAAAACATTAATTATAAATTCAACGGAATAAATTTGACTATCACTTGCAATCTTTAGTACTTAAATTGAAGTTGTTTTCTTTGCAATATCTCGTACCTTGTAGACTAGTTAAACGTAAGCATCACCCTGTCAATTGTGCTATGGACTATCAAACTAATCAATCTGCTTTCATAGTCAAGGTGATACCTTGTGTAACTGTGGTATTCCTGTTTCTGAAATTGAAAAAGCTATGACAGTGATAATAACACCAATGATATTGGTTGGTTGGTTTGTTGTTTAATGCCGCACTCAGCAATATTCCAGCTATATGACGGCGGTCTGTAAATAATCGAGTATGGACCAGACAATCCAGTGAGCACCGACCCACGCTATTGGGATCAGTGACATGCATCAACCAAATCAGCGAGCCTGACCAACACCAGTGATAGAAACTAACATTTGTCCACTGGTCCCTATGAAGATAACACATAGCAAGACCTTTAAAAATGGCCAACTTCTATTAGTCATTGTGATACCTTCCTTATTGGGCAATTTGGCAAGGACGAAAGGACTAGTGCGATTCTACCACTGAATACATGTAATAATGAATTTGTATAGTGCCAAAATTCCATCATAAAATGTGCTCATTGTCACTTCTATATATACTAAAGTCATGATTATCATCTATCTATGTCCAAAGCTATGCAAAACAGGTAGATGTTGGTACTTCTTGGAAGGTTTCGAACTGTATTGGAATTCTTTCAACCAATAAATAAAATCAAAATGTGGCCCTACAGTTCTTTCTTCATTGACAGGATTGAGTGTGGATTGACTACAACTGAACATTGATCACAGTACTATCAGTTTGCTATGTTTTTATGTGAATGTCACTGGGTCAGAAGTTTGCCTTCACTCAAAAGACTTTCACAAAATGATAGTGAATTCTCAACATTGTATCATTTTCTGTTTGTGGTGTGAATATGTACCATGCTTGTTGACTTTTTTTCAAGAATTTCTAACTAATGAATGAGTGAGTAAGTGAGTTTGTTGTTGAACGCCGCACTCAGCAATATTCCAGCTATATGACAGCGTTCTGTAAATAATCAAGTTTGGACCAGGCAATCCAGTGATTGACATCATGAGCATCGATCCACGCCATTTGGATCAATGACATGCATCAACCAAGTCAGCTAGTCTGACCACCCAATTCTGACAAGCATAGTCACCTTTTATGGCACACATGGGTTGCTGAAGACCTATTCTACCCCAGATCTTCACGGGTGGTCTAACTAATGCAAAGGATTAATCGTATGCTGTGGCATTCAAGACCAAAAAAGACAAGTCAGTTTCAAATGAAACTTGCTGTTATGAAATGCACTTTCAAAGGTTGAAAACACAGGTTTTTCTCTTAAGGGAACTGACGAAATGACAATGAAGGTGAAATGACAATAAATGTCTGTAAAATTAATTTCTGGCGTTTAGATAAATATCTGTCTACCATATGCATGATGGGTGATACATGCATGTCACCTTGATGGCCCTTGGTATTGCCCGCCATTCCGCCTGAGAGCTACCCCAATCTGGACCACATGGTGGGTGCGGGGTCTCTGGCGTACAATCTCCGCCTGACAACATCCCACAGATGTTCTATTGGGGACATGTCCAGTGTCCATATGTCATCAGTTCCCTTAATTTTTGTAGCATGTTCATCTAACAGTAGGACTGTAACGATTCACTCGCGTATTCGGTGAATAGAACCGTATCCATCCACGAATTGAATTCGTTATTCGTGGCCACTAGAATCGAATATTTTGGAATACGGTATGCAAGCATCTGCATATTTACATACCCTGTACCAAAAAATATCATATCATAAGATTTCTTCAAAGACAACACTCTTATAATATTTAATTTGACAGTATTGTGGTCACTGGTCATTTTAGCATTTGAGCAGATACTAGTACCTGGATAAGTGCAGTATATAAATGTATAATATATTAATCATTAACAAACCATGTCAAATAATTAATGTTGTCAATGTTTCACTGAATATAACAAATAATACAAATAATATTTCAGCTGCTACATCAGACTTGTTATTATATTCGTAAATTAATATTCGTATTCGTTACCCTATATTCGTGATACGAATCGTATTCGCCTCATAGTGTATTCGTTGCAGCCCTATCTAACAGTAGTTTTATAAGGCTCGGTGTTTATAATACTCAGTGTTATGTTAGTTGACTAGTTGTGGCATGTTAGTCAACTGTCCTGATCAGGCAATTGACGCTGAGCGACCATGTGTAATTAGGGAAACAGGATGTGAGGGGATATTTATTTAATCATGTACTTGCTGGTTTGACAATGTGTGAAAGTGAATACAAGAAATATGCCTGGTTTTTTTTTAGTTTTTTGTGTGATTTAAATAATTTAAATATACCTTAGGATGACATTTGAGATACCCTTTTCATGTTGTTACATGTATTTTGCCCATTTTTGTCATGGACATTTGCCGAAATCATACACTCTAAGATGCAATAAATATATCATTTAAAATAACTGATCGTTGTTTTACTGTTTTGTTTTTACATGGATACATTGATTGCAATAGTACTCAGATCAACAGGTGTGATAAAGTAAAAATAAATAATGTTGGTATACATTGTGACAACATTCACAAATAATCAGAGTAGTCTCCCTTCACTCCCTACCTATTTTTCAAGCAACCTGCAAAATCTCGGCTCGTTATGGCAAACAATGCATGAATTGAAGAAGGGTGGAGGTATTAAGCTGTTGCAATAAGCAGTGTTCCTGTTTACCGGTAATTACCACTTTTTTCCGGTAAAATTAGGCTTGGACCGGTAATTAATCTGACTGCCAGTCCCTGTGGACCGGCAAAAAAAGTACCTTATTAATCTTTGTTATTGAACAGAACATGAGCGATATTCATATAAGTTTAGTTTTTTAACAAAGTAAGCTTGTCTGTTGCCATTTTGGTTATCCCCTTGTCTATTTTCTGTGCAAGGAAATACCGTTTTGAATTGCTTCTAGATTAAATATGTATTTGTAGCGATTAAGCCTAGAAACTATTTTTTTAAAAATGTGAATGACATGTAGATCTAACTAAATTACTTCAGAGACTCTTATTTGTTGATGGTTGGGACTGACAAAAATTAAAGGGGACTGGTAATTTTTAGAGTTGCCAGTCCACCAGGACTGACAGTTTCAAAAGCCAGCGGGAACACTGTAATAGTGAGTGAGTGAGTGAGTATGGTTTTACGCCGCTTTTAGCAATTTTCCAGCAATATCACGGCGGGGGACACCAGAAATGGGCTTCACACATTGTATCCATGTTGGGAATCGAACCCGGGTCTTCGGCGTGACGAGCTAACACTTTAACCACTGGGCTACCCGACCGCCCCGAACACTGTAATAAGTCATGATAGTTGTACCTATCTTGCAATAAGACTGCAGTACTGATTTAACACTAGTGAAAACCCCTAAACAATCACCCAGTGCTCACTGTCTGTACTGTTCAATAATTGGTCCAAACTGTTCTGGTGAGACTAATGTAAAATACTAATGTAAAACCTCCCTTTTGATTAGCTGGTTCACAGGAAAACAAATGCATGGCAACATTTGTAGCATTATTTATTTTTTAAGCTGGACAAATACATTGAACATTCAAATGTAATCTCATTGTCTTACCATAGCTTTATCAAGTCTTTGGACGACATTTAGAAGTGATACACAAAAGGAAGAGAATTTTATGGATGTCAACTTCTTTATTATGATGAACACAACGTAGAAACTTAATAAGGGAACCAACAGATAATTGGCACTGATAGGTGATTAGCAACAGACAATATAAGCCAACACTTTGCAGTAATTAGTGCTGAAAGTTATGGACAACTTGAAGCCAGGACTTAAATTATCACGGATTGGTATTTGGCAAAGAACAATGAGCAAATGGGAGGCCGGGGTAATTAGCACTGATAGGTAAAAGAATGGAAATAGCAATGGGTAGTTGGAATACGTAAAAGCCCATGTCTATTGCTAATCACCTATCAGCGTCAATTATCTGTTGGCTTCGCTTGTTAAGTTTCCACCTTCTGTCATCTTTTTACTTTTGTTGTTCTTACAAGTACATATATCCTCTCTGCCTCATAGAATTCATTCAGCTGAGTAAGCATATACGCTGAAAGAGTGTGTTCCTCATAATAAAGAAGTTTACATCCGTAAAATTCTCTTCCTCATAGCTTTGTCAATCCTGATGGCAAATGATAGAATCAGGACTCAAAATATTTACAAAATTGCATCAGAACAAATAAACCATACATTTACACATATTTACAGACTTAATCATGTTAATATGACACTGTCTTAGCTATACATTTATTTTGTAAGCATTTTACAAATATTTTATAGACACACAGATGGCCTGTTTGTGTAATCTTTGGCGCTGCAATTTTCCCTGCTTAGTTATGTCACTTTGCCAGACCAGTAGGGGTTGGACGAGTCCATATTTGCTACCCTGGTATTTGCCTGTCCAAGACTTCAATATTAACAGCCCCTGTTATATCGCTGGAATATTGCTGACTGTGGTATAAAATACCTCACTACTCTTACATGTCTTAATACAGGGATGTTATTTACAATATCAAGCACTGGTTTGCCTGTCCAAGACTTCATTATTAACAGCCCCTGTTATATCGCTGGAATACTGCTGACTGTGGTATAAAACACCTCACTATTCTTACATGTCTTAATACAGGGATGTTATTTACAATATCAAGCACTGGTTTGCCTGTCCAAGACTTCATTATTAACAGCCCCTGTTGTATAGCTGGAATATTGCTGACTGTGGTATAAAACACCTCACTACTCTTACATGTCTTAATACAGGGATGTTATTTACAATATCAAGCACTGGTTTGCCTGTCCAAGACTTCATTATTAACAGCCCCTGTTATATCGCTGGAATATTGCTGACTGTGGTATAAAATACCTCACTACTCTTACATGTCTTAATACAGGGATGTTATTTACAATATCAAGCACTGGTTTGCCTGTCCAAGACTTCATTATTAACAGCCCCTGTTGTATAGCTGGAATATTGCCGACTGTGGTATAAAATACCTCACTACTCTTACATGTCTTAATACAGGGATGTTATTTACAATATCAAGCACTGGTTTGCCTGTCCAAGACTTCATTATTAACAGCCCCTGTTGTATAGCTGGAATATTGCTGACTGTGGTATAAAACACCTCACTACTCTCGCAAGTCTTATGACAGGATCAATCCAAATATGTAATACATGTGTATCATAAAATAATTTTTTAATCAAGCTAATAACGCAAAGATTTAGGTTCTTTAAGAAACTAATCATGCTAATGCTGTTTATCATGTACCTAGTGGGGTATCTATGCTAAACTGTGGCATGGTATCTCAGTGAGCTAGCACTATAAAATCGGCATTAGTCCGGAATAGTACAAGTGCAAGCGAGCGTCCACACGCTCTCTCACTCTCTCTCTCAAATACACGCACGCATGCACGCACGCACGCACACACACACACATCGCTATGTAAGTGCTATAATCTTAACCGTGAAGTTAAACTCCACTTCACCTGACCTATAACAGGACTTTACTTCTGGACCCTGATCATAACAGATCAGCTTGTAATTGACCAAGTACAGCAAATGTTACATGTGTCATCTGTTTGGCAGGATTTAATAAGGCAGACAGACTCTCTTTTTTTGACAGAATCTCAACCTGTAAAATCCTGTACACACCACTTTTGACACCAGTAACACTATAACCATGACAAATTCATCAGCTACAATTATTTTTGGTGAAATATTGTCATGTGACCATCAGATCAATCTTGTGATTGTCAACGGTAACTCAGAAATCAAACAGGTTCTGTTGTCACATGACATCACATGATCATCATGACAAGCAAGTGACGTCACAATCACATACAACAATATGACTTCATGATGTCTGTACAGGCCGGCAAGCCGACATGACATACTTTCTACATGACTGTCACAAGTCATGAATACACAATGTACAAGAATCTGTACTTTACTATTTTACTAAGAAAGTGTTATCACAAAAATATAACATTTGTTACATGTCACAAGTAAATCAGATTGCTATATTCTATGCTGAGTCATGAGAAAAAATGTATGTACATTACTCTGTATCCATGATTTAACTATCTAGTTGTGGCCCAAATTCTCCCTAAATCCAAACACTACTTTCACCATCCAGGAACTTTGTCAATCCTGACATTTTCACTGTAAAATGGTAAACAGTAAAGTTTGAAAAACAGGATTTCCAAAGTGGATGGTAAGTCTCGCATCATGTTAAATTGTTTTTTGATTCCTTATTCCCTGTCGCATAGTTTTTAATTTGACAAGCTCTCCAGTTCTGGAAGAAGTTTTTCCATGAGAGGCCTATGCTTCTTCTTGACGAGGCACCTTGTTGCGATGCTGTACATGGCAATGGCCGTCTCCTCCTTCCACGACCCCGCTGACTGGTCCACCATGTCCATAATGTCCTCGCAGTTCTCCTCCATGTGGGTCCACAAGTCTCGATCTTCTCGTTCCTCGTCAAACGATGGCAGACCTGTCAGCAGTTCGAGAAGCACGACTCCATAGCTGTAGGTGTCCAGTTTGGCGGAGACATCAAACTGGTACGCCTCCGGTGCCAAGTAGGCTGACGTGCCGATCACAACCATTGTCTGTGTACATGTTGCCCCTGTTCCTTTAGGTGCTAATCTGGCAGTTGCAAAGTCGCCAACTTTAGGAGTAAAGTCTTTGTCTAATAAAACATTTGCACTTTTTATGTCTCTATGGACAAACCCGTTCTCATTGAGATAGTTGATTCCTCTCGCTGTGCCCTGAGCTATGCTTAATCTCACCGGGCAGTCGAGAGGCTCTGTCTCATTCTTGCATCCGAGGCGGTCTTCCAGAGATCCGTTCGGCATGTACTGGTAAATCAGGCAGTGGTTTGCATCTTCACTGGAATATCCCAGCAGATGGACAATGTTTTCATGACGATACTTTGAGAGAACATTCAACTCAGTCTGAAACTGTTTCAGATTATCATCATTTTCTTCCTTTAAGCATTTCACAGCAATTTTAAAGCCATTGTTGAACTTACCCAGAAAAACTGTCCCAAATCCTCCCCTGCCAATCATGCTACCTCCCTTGCTCAATTCTATTTCATTGAAATTATTAGTGATATGTTTCAACATTTTGTAGTCCAGTTGTCGTAAAAGGATAGCCTCATTTCCATGGAGCTGTCTTAAGATTTCCTCTTCTTCAGCAATTTCATCTGATTCTCCAGGGGCACGAATACTCTCTAAACTGGGTTCCGACTTCAGATCGACAGATGGTAAACCACTTCTCACCGAAAGTCTTCTCTCTTCACCCATGCTTTCAAAGGTTCCCTGGGTTTCTGATAAAGCATGATCACCCTCCATATTCCGAATATAAAAGGTATCTCTATCTTCATATTCTTTAGGAGTAATTGTAGCCTGTTCTGCTAGGTTTTCTTGACCCGTTCTGTCTGATGTTTCCAAACGTGGGCGTGGCACTGGTTCCCCATCCAAGACATTCACCGACAAATAATCCGCCGCTCCGTACAGCTCTGAAATCACCAGTACCTTGATCAAATGTTTCACTCGCACATTCTGAGTTCCCCAGTCGTCTAAAATTGCACGTGTGGAACTCGCCCCCGGCTTCTTGCCTCGATCCTCGATCATACTTACATACGTAAGATCATACTTTGGCACAAAATCATCCTGGTCCAACATCACCAGTTTTCGTGGTATGTTTACAACAAACTTTTCCCATTGTTTTCCTGGCTCAAGAAGTGACGTTAATTTTGCCACCACTGAGTACGGCAAGTGTCTTGTATACGTCTCACCGGTTACTTTCTGACCTCCCATTTTCTTGATGTAAACTACGAAATATTCTCTCTACTGCAATATTCCCTCTACTGCAAGTATTGTCTCATCTCGCACATACACAACAGGAAATACCCTATCTATAAATAAACCAAGTGACGTCACAGCCAATCGAAAGGTAATATAGAACCCGGAAGTGTTTTATAAGTCGTTATCATTGATCGGAGTTACTTGCCTTATTTGCCCGAGTCTTATTGGGGGACAAATTGATAATACAACACGGCAATTAAACCATCCAATGGGATCACTGTATACAGTCATGTATTTAATAATATGGCTATTTCCACATGGAGTTTTAGGCATGTACATGTACGCACTCGTAAGGTCTTCTGGTTGTGGGGGTGGTGGGTGGGGTTCGTCTTAGGATTGTAGCATATATAATTATATTTTGCTTGACCCCTACCCCCATTTTATGTAACAATTTTCATCCCCTTCTACAGGATATTTTCCACGACACCAACCCACCCCCTGTGATAAATGACAAATCCCTAAGTATGGCTTAATTTAATAAACATTGCTTTTATATACTGCAGCAATTATATCTCCTTTATTCAAAATTCAAGACGTGTAAACTTTGGGATTATTAACGAAATGTAGTCATCGTCACGGGGTCGCTCGGTAATATTGACAACAGTTGTGTTAATACTCCAATGAAAATCATAAAAAAATATACGTTACTCGTGAAAGAAATCTAATGTCTTAGCTCTTCCACTGCACAAGCCTGTATTGTAACAGCCGATGCCTGCCACGGTCCCATTAGACAGCGGGTTAATTTTGACCAGATTTTAGATTGATAAAAGGAATATAAAATGTTTATGATGCAAGTTTATGTACTTGTCTGAAACCAGATTTGTTTGTTTGTTTGTTTGTTGTTTAACGCCGCACTGAACAATATACAGCTGTATGACGGCGGTCTGTAAATAATCGAGTCTGGACCAGACAATCCAGTGATTGACAACATGAGCATCGATCCACGTAATTGGGATTGATGACATGCATCAACCACGTCAGCTATCCCGTTAATCCCCTCTTACGACAAGCATAGTCGCCTTTTATGGCAAGCATGGGGTGCTGAAGACCTATTCTACCCCGGATCTTCACGGGTCGATTTGTTTGTTTATATGATCATATAATATGTGTGAGTAGCCCTGTCTGCTGACCATACGTACGTTACTGCCCTACTGACAGTTGTATTACAAAACAGGATGCTTCTGAAATTGCACTGGTGTACTACAGTATATATCAATTGCCAGGCAAATATGCGATTTTCGCTTTCACTATTTTGACTTGTACCACAAACTAATGATTTCACCATAGCCATGCTTATCATTTGGTGTGTTTACACGTCTATAAGGTGTTTGTAAACGACTTATTTTTTTCTGTCTCGCACAGAAGAAATTCACCAGGATCGCATAAAGGAAACCAGAATTATGCTGTCCACTGATACAGTAACTGAATGACAGCAAGAGTATCGTACGTTATTACAGCTGATAAAACGATGATCGGACGGGACATTAGGCGTTTTGGTCCATAACAGACAGGTCATCGTTTAACAAAATAGAGTGTGTCCATAACAGGTAGGCCATTGTTTAACGATACAGAGCGTGTCTATAACAGACAAGTCATTGTTTAACGAAATAGAGCGTGTCCATAACAGACAAGTCATTGTTTAACGAAATAGAGCGTGTCCATAACAGACAAGTCATTGTTTAACTAAACAGAGCGTGTCCATAACAGACAAGTCATTGTTTAACGAAATAGAGCGTGTCCATAACAGACAAGTCATTGTTTAACGAAATAGAGCGTGTCTATAACAGACAAGTCATTGTTTAACGAAATAGAGCGTGTCTATAACAGACAAGTCATTGTTTAACGAAATAGAGCGTGTCCATAACAGACAAGTCATTGTTTAACGAAATAGAGCGTGTCTATAACAGACAAGTCATTGTTTAACGAAATAGAGCGTGTCCATAACAGACAAGTCATTGTTTAACGAAATAGAGCGTGTCCATAACAGACAGGTCATTGTTTAACGAAATAGAGCGTGTCCATAACAGACAAGTCATTGTTTAACGAAATAGAGCGTGTCCATAACAGACAAGTCATTGTTTAACGAAATAGAGCGTGTCTATAACAGACAAGTCATTGTTTAACGAAATAGAGCGTGTCTATAACAGACAAGTCATTGTTTAACGAAATAGAGCGTGTCCATAACAGACAAGTCATTGTTTAACGAAATAGAGCGTGTCCATAACAGACAAGTCATTGTTTAACGAAATAGAGCGTGTCCATAACAGACAAGTCATTGTTTAACGAAATAGAGCGTGTCTATAACAGACAAGTCATTGTTTAACGAAATAGAGCGTGTCCATAACAGACAAGTCATTGTTTAACGAAATAGAGCGTGTCCATAACAGACAAGTCATTGTTTAACGAAATAGAGCGTGTCCATAACAGACAAGTCATTGTTTAACGAAATAGAGCGTGTCCATAACAGACAAGTCATTGTTTAACGAAATAGAGCGTGTGTGGAGTTCCGAGTTGACTTGCACTGATGGTCTGTCTCACAGTCACTGCTATAGCCCTAAATGAAGCAAGTCTAGATTTTCCACAGGTTCTGAATCTCCCCTTCCGCCCAGTCCTTGCTTCACTGCTATAGCCCTAAATGAAGCAAGTCTAGATTTTCCACAGGTTCTGAATCTCCCCTTCTACCCAGTCCTTGCTTCACTGCTGTAGCCCTAAATGAAGCAAGTCTAGATTTTCCACAGGTTCTGAATCTCCCCTTCCGCCCAGTCCTTGCTTCACTGCTGTAGCCCTAAATGAAGCAAGTCTAGATTTTCCACAGGTTCTGAATCTCCCCTTCCGCCCAGTCCTTGCTTCACTGCTGTAGCCCTAAATGAAGCAAGTCTAGATTTTCCACAGGTTCTGAATCTCCCCTTCCGCCCAGTCCTTGCTTCACTGCTGTAGCCCTAAATGAAGTAAGTCTAGATTTTCCACAGGTTCTGAATCTCCCCTTCCGCCCAGTCCTTGCTTCACTGCTGTAGCCCTAAATGAAGCAAGTCTAGATTTTCCACAGGTTCTGAATCTCCCCTTCCGCCCAGTCCTTGCTTCACTGCTGTAGCCCTAAATGAAGCAAGTCTAGATTTTCCACAGGTTCTGAATCTCCCCTTCCGCCCAGTCCTTGCTTCACTGCTGTAGCCCTAAATGAAGCAAGTCTAGATTTTCCACAGGTTCTGAATCTCCCCTTCCGCCCAGTCCTTGCTTCACTGCTGTAGCCCTAAATGAAGCAAGTCTAGATTTTCCACAGGTTCTGAATCTCCCCTTCCGCCCAGTCCTTGCTTCACTGCTGTAGCCCTAAATGAAGCAAGTCTAGATTTTCCACAGGTTCTGAATCTCCCCTTCCGCCCAGTCCTTGCTTCACTGCTGTAGCCCTAAATGAAGCAAGTCTAGATTTTCCACAGGTTCTGAATCTCCCCTTCCGCCCAGTCCTTGCTTCACTGCTACAGCCCTAAATGAAGCAAGTCTAGATTTTCCACAGGTTCTGAATCTCCCCTTCCGCCCAGTCCTTGCTTCACTGCTACAGCCCTAAATGAAGCAAGTCTAGATTTTCCACAGGTTCTGAATCTCCCCTTCCGCCCAGTCCTTGCTTCACTGCTACAGCCCTAAATGAAGCAAGTCTAGATTTTCCACAGGTTCTGAATCTCCCCTTCCGCCCAGTCCTTGCTTCACTGCTACAGCCCTAAATGAAGATAGTCTAGGTTTTCCACAGGTTCTGGATCTCACTGGGTCTTCTTTTCATTATAAAACGGAGCTTTTTCTATCACGATTCTATATTTTAAGAGAGTTAGCGTTTGTCGAATGCACAACAAATGGACAGGCCAACCACGTGATATTTATAAACGATATACCTGATCGTGGGACTCCATCACGGTGCTCACCAAGACCAACCAAGATTGTATAACGATCATATTCAATATCTCTTGCCAACAGCTACTCCGTATCTACCGATATGTGGCCGTATGAGTTCAAGCTTCCAGACGACCTCAGCTGACACTACAACTGCCTTTCTACGGTAACTGGGGTATCATTGGGTGTGGACAGCACCCGCAACTCATTCTTACACTTCACCATGAATGCGGAAGGTTATACTTTCCCCACTACTCGGAACATTCTGACCAGCAAAATACACCCCTATATCTACTGACCACATTCTTCACAGGGAAAGTCCAGCATAGCATGGCTTTCTGGGAATGGAGCCCACGAGACCACGGGCAGTTGTAGTGTGTAACCCATGTCCAGGCACCTTGGTCGTCTAGGTATAATAACCTATTCGGTTAGGGCATGTTTACATTAAACTGTCAAAGCTAGAGCATATAGAGATGGGGGAAGAGTCGATATTATTGTATTTACACCGCTGAGCCGGAAAAGATTCTGCCGGGACTGTAACGCTATATCGTCCTAATGTTTTAGCTGTGAGGTGTTGGATAAACCAGGGGCGGTGTTATTTAGCTACCGTTTCAGTATATCCATCTGATAGTATACCATACTCCAGGCAGATAAATGACGTGTAGATATAGATCAAATATAACAATCACTATGCCCGTTTTTCGAAGAATCAAACTTTAAACAGACCCATGACAGACTACACCAGAAGTACTCACTTATACACAATAATCGGCAAAGGAAGGTGTAATATGTCTCTGTGTCGCTGTTATTTTGTTGACTTGCTTTTGGTCAAGATGGTGTCAATGAATAAAGACCCGTATTGGTCTCATTCGTTCTTCAGCCATGCACAGTATTTCCCGGGGATGAGCCTTGTGATTTTACGTGCGCTTGTCGATCTACACATTTAACGTACTCATAGCTGCAAAAAGTATTGCTCAAAGCAAGCATCGAGTAACCTTTAAAACACACCTGGGACGTCATTCTATTTTGTAAACGGTCTATTATTTATTTTCAGGTATGGATGATTTCAAGATTTGTCGGAAAACGTGTCGCCAGCGGGGATTGAACCCGCATCGTCTGATTTGAGGACGTATAATTATCGACCTCAGCTATGGCGACACATGAC